AGGAAACTGTTATTCCCATAACTAGTAGTTCAGATCCTTGTAGTTAGTTTGTAGGGTCTTGGGAATTATCTCCTTGCTTGCTTGTCATTTGGCTCAGCTAAGTTGGTGGCAGATGGTCATATCCCAAATACCATACATGCTATGTGATGGCTTTCTTCATACAGCAAATTAATTTGTTTTCAATTGGCTTTTGACTAGATACATGGGAAACTTGATGTATGTCTAATAAGTGTTTGACACCCTACTTCCATTCCCCAGTTTTGTACTTCCCACACCTCAAATATTTTGGTTGTCAGTACATGGTTGCTGAAGATCTTTTATATGGCCTAATTCTGTTTAGGTCTCAAGACAGGGAAAGAAACTGTTGGAATCATCATTTGCCAGATAGAGATGTTTCTTATGAGGGTAATATCTAATGAATCCACTTTCATTTGACTGCCTATTCTGTAAGCTGTGCATTGCCTTCAGAACACTTTTACTTTAGGAAAACATCTGTGAAATATGGAAGCACAGGTTACTACCATTAAAAAGGCATTGAGAGGATAAGGCATTTTTTGAAAAGTTAGTCTGGAATATGTGGTACTTGTTAACTGTGCAGCAATTATATACAGCTGCCAGTTTTTAATAGACCATTATGTTTAGCTGGTCTTAGAAATGAATGCAATCCTTCTCTCATCTTACAGATTTTCTGCAAATTTTGTCACATGCCACCTTTATGGATCACACTTCTATGTTTTCTAGACAACCTGCAGGTGTTTGAAGTAATTATTAAATATAGCACTTAAGTTGTGCCTAACAAACTAATACTGGAATACTTGACCTATATAATTTTAACAGCCTAGTTCACTTGTCTAATATTACTAATATCCTTACTATAGGATCTACTTTTAGGGTTTTCATCTTTTTTGTCGCAACTCAAATAACACCCACACAAAGCACTTGGTGAGACCCATTCATGCTGATAATCAGTATTTCAAACCTTGTGTCTTTAGGAAACCCTCTGCTTGTTAACCTGTTTGCTGCAGTGCACTACTAATACATAAGATTCTAGAGAGTGTTTGAGGATGCATATTTCACATAGAGTTCTAACCAGACATATTCGGCCTTGTTCTTGCCCTGAATGCATTGACAGGTTATTTCACATGTTTCCCCTCTCATTTCTGCCTGTTCAATTCCCTTTCCTCCATACTGTCCATTTCATGACATAGCATACAGAGAATCTCATATAAAGTCACCTGCTACTATATGGTGGCAGTAACCCTTATCCAGTTCCATCACTACAAAGGGAGAAGGAACAAGAGGTACCTGATTCTTCATAAAACCACACAAAGGAAAACACCATCAGATCAAAGTAGCTGCTCTTCCTAAAACAGATTTGGGGGATGGAATGAGTGAGCAATTACCCCACAAATCCAGTGAATCAGGGTCTTTTGCCCAAAGATCTTTGTCATGGTCACATCTGGAACTTACCACTCCATGGAAATTTATTCACTCTTTCCAGATGCCATTCAGCACCTGAAGATTTGTGACTAGAAATGCCCAACACTTTTACCTTCCCAAAGCAAAGGAATACTGGCAGTGCAGATTAATGGGCTTTAAAGGAGACTTATATGCTATTGCCAATTTGCTGGGAAGATTCTAAGGGACCCTGAAAACTGGTTAAAGTTTGTCAGTTCATTTGAATAGGCCTCATGGTTTTATTGTAATCAAGATAAATTAGTTGCATGTCTAAGCAAGTGCAGCATAGTGGTTAAGAGTGTTTGAGTGAGACTTGGTTCTAGTCTCCATTCAGCCTAAAGCTCTGTGGATGCCTTTGGACCAATCATGGACTCTCATCTTAACCTACCTCACAGGTCTGTTGTGGGGATAAAACATAGAGGAAGAAAACCTTGTAAGCGACTTAGTTTAGTAGCATTTATAGTTGAACTAAATGCAAGAATTATTGATTTTATTTATTTATTTAAACAACTTATATGCCGCCCCATTGCATGAGCCTCAGGGTGGCTTACAATAATTAAAATCCCATATAAAATACAAAAAATTCAACAAATAAAATACAATAAAGTAAAATAAAATAGTTGATGAATACCTTTATGGCAGTCTGTTTATCTTGATGTAATAACTGATTATCTTAATACTATTTTTAAAATATAGTGAGCATTAGCATGTTTTGCTGCATTTCTAATCATCTACAGTACTTGTATTTGGGTTTCTCTGCAAACATTTGAGCTTGTACTCTCCAATAAAATAAAAGCTGAATTTCTTATGGAGTCATTTTCCTGCATAGTTGGAAATGAAATATTTTCTGTTTAGCCCAAATTCCAGTTGTGTGTAGTAGGTTTGCATATGATGCTAGAAAAAGACAGTTGCCCCCTGGGCAACTGAATGAAAACATTATGGCAAGTTTTCTTTTTGTGGCTTCCCTAATATGCCTGTACATGTAGCATTCATTTTCATATGGGTTTGTAAAATTATTATTTTGTTACAATCTAAAACTGATAAGGAATTCAATTTTACATTATTTAAAGAAGGACTTTTTAAAACTTTTATTGGCTATAGTCATTCAGGGTTGGTTTTCCCTTTTCACTGATTTGGCAACTTTATATACTGAAAAAAATAGTACAGTAAAAATGTAGTTTGTATTCCTAAGGTCTGAACACATTTACTTGGAAATGCCTATTGATTGCAATGGAATATGGTGCCAAATAGGCATAGTTTAGATTCTCTGTGTAGGCATATTTAGATATTAAGTTTCTTTCATCTGCAAATTATTTCAGCTACCAAATTGGTTCTTGTACATATAAATCTAACAACATGTCAGCTATATGATCATGGTTGTTCTACTGTACCAAGTAGGATGGTTTTTGTTATATTCTTACACTTTCTTTAAGATCATGGAAGTTGCTGTTTACCATGAATTCTGACTGATCAGCAACACATTAGAGGTATGAGTATGTTTATAGGCCACCCACAGTGTCATTTTTAACTTGTATTGATGTATCCAAAATGGATGGATGTGTTAAAATTAGGTTCCCATGCCAGATTGATTGTAAAGTGACAAAGATGTGGGTAGATGTCACTCTAAAAATGATGTTGAAGGTCATTATAAAGGTCACATATAACTTCATGGCCAGGGTTAAGCTGCTTCAGGAAGTGTCACATTCCTGAAAGTAATGAAAGAATTTGTATAGTGCACACTGTATAGTACACACCTAAATGAAGATATTCAGCTATGTTACTGAACATACAGTATCAGTGGAAAATTATCTTTGGTGAATTATCTGCTGTGTGGGCTCAAGCAATAAAAACACAAGAAAACATGGTTTCCAGCTGCTATTCTGTATTATCCCACATAGTTATTTCAAGACCATCACATGTTTAATATCTAACAAATTTTGTATCATTTATACAACATTGTTTTGTGAATTAATATTTACGGAGTTGTGACCATAAATAGAAGACACAGCTACACTACTTAGTATACATGCTGGAATACCAACAAAGACTCAAATTGGGAAGAAGCTTAATTCCTGAGCAGGCCTTAATTTGTAACTGAGAAAAGACACTTCTTCAGAAGAAATGGCCATATTGTGAACATAAAATAAAGCACTGACTTTATTTTGCATATTTTATTGCATTACATATGTGCATCAGATTCAGGCAAAGCCTGAGCCCCACTGGGGCCCTTTGGACCTTTTCTGGTGCTTCCTGAGGCTTTCCTCCAATGTTCCAGAACCAAACCTGGATCCTGTTCAAGATTTTGTTTGCAGTTCAGCTTTGGAAAGGCAAACCGTGTGTCCCCAAACATACTTTGTATATGTTTCTCTTAAATGCTTATGGGAGTAGAGGGAGGGATTGGAATTGAGTGACTGATAATTTCACTTTCTAATTGTAGAGCACATTTTAACAGAGACTTCACTATTTGTTTTGGGGGAGGGCATAGATTCAGTTGAAAGAAGGCCATTCATCCGATACTATCAGGCATCACTATGAAAAAAGCATTAAAGTGGTTTTCAATCTATTTACTGCACTTACCCTTCTGCAACTTCATGTGTTTCTTGCCTGGATATATCTGTACAAAGTGTGCCATTCTCATACAAATCCCCTACCACTACCACTATGCAAAATGAAGAAGGAAAGGAAAGAGTATTTCGTACATGCACATGCATGCAGACACATTTAAGGACTCTCATATATATTGCTGCACCTGTTCATCTTAAACTGCAAGGCTTTACTTAGGACTATCTCTGTTCTGTTTGGTTTTTCTGTATATATGGATTTTTTTCAACCATTTTCCCCAACTGCTAAACAGAGCTGCAGCCTTCCAGTAAAAGAAAAGCTGGAATATATAATTGCTCCAGTAGGCCATGGGCTGCCAGACTTGTTTTGACATGTTCTGTTAAGCTTGCATTGGTTGCTAATCCAGATTTTTAGCTTTATAGCCTCCATAGGTGACCACTAATAGTTCCTCCATGTTAAGCAGAAATGTTACTATATGATGTATTACTTCTGAGGTTTATTCCAGAGGGGACAATTCTATAGCTTCTAGGCATGAGCAGAGCAGCGCAGAGGTAGGATTGTTTTGAATTCAATTCTCAGTTCTGAGATGAGAGACAGTCCTTCAGGCACACAGCTTTGTTCCCCCTCCCCCTTGCAACAGTTGTGGAAAAAAAATGGACCAACTGCTCTCTGAGGAAAGGAAAGTGACCTCAGGGAGGAGTAAAAGGGGAGCAGGGATGGGAAGAAGACTGAAGCAGCCAGCATATCAGGTATCCTAATGGGACTTGAGCCTCTTTCCCTCAACCTGCAAAGTGCCCCAACTGGATGGTGAAAACATAGAAACAGCGCGAGTCAGAAGGGGCCTCCCGGGCCATCTAGTCTGACCTCCGGCACCAGCCAGCTCCGCTCACGACATGCCCGCCATGTGCACGTCCAGCCTATCCTTGAACACCCGCACCGATGGGACCTCAACGACCTCTCGTGGAAGCCCATTCCACACCCTCGGGGTCCTAGCCGTCAGGAAGTGCTTCCTGGCATCCAATGATTGTCTAGCAAAAACGCAGAGTGGGAGGAGTAGGGAGGCAGAGATCAACAGTGCTGCTTCTCCCACTTTACATAGGATGCCCATAATCCATGTTTGGATGTTTATGGGCAGTTTGATTGTGACCTGCATAACTGAAAGCATGCTTCCAAGCAATGGACTAGATTAGAAATGAGTAACCTTCCTCCAGTGCAGCCTAGAGAGATGAAGTTACTGTTGCATAAATGGCAAAGGAGTATAAGTATTGTAGGAGGAATGAAAATGCTGATGAGTTAATCCTATCAATGGCCATTGGTAATCACCTTCGCTTTAGCAGTAGAAGGCATGAAGATAGTCTCGCCCCTTGTTCTCCTGGAATGGTTTGCTTTAAATATACTAATATGTCCTTCCTCTTAAAAGAGCAGATGACTCTTAAATGCTTGTTTACATCAACATCTTACCTTGAAAATACTGGACTACAGAGGAATAGCACCAAGAGTACGTTAAAAACCAGTCATGTATCATGGGCTTTGCAATTATTAGTATGTTTAGGCTTTTTAATTTTTACCCAAAGGAAAAAATAACTGAGGCAGCACTGAAATCATGTATGTACATGGGCTGTTGCTGAATATTTTGGCATCTGATTTTCATATTTTTTTTACTCCACTAAGTTTAAGCTGTTTTTAATGTGACTCTTAACTTGTGTCTCAGAATCACAACCATATGTTGAGTTCACAGATGCTTTTGCAGATGTCCAAGCACTAGTCTAACAAACTTTACATCTCCTTTGGTGCATTGCTGAAGGTCGTAGTAACAAAAGTCTGCAGAGCTTTTAATTACACAGGAACATGTTTTCGTATTTATGAGGACATAAAATATGTAGGAGACAATGCAGCCAAAGGTAAGCACCTCATGGTTCTGTCAATTTAAATAGGAGAACTATGTACATGTTTACATCCTGCAGTCTAGTCATTGGGTCCTTTAAAATACTTACCTTTTAACTGCTTTGCTAGTAGAAAGGCATTTAAGAATACAGGAGCTGCATCTAATAAGAAGAAAGAGCCTGGGCCCCCTGTATTGCCCCTGAAGCACTTCTCTAGCCAGTTTGAAAAAGAGTATATCATCTCAAACTGCAGTGCTTTAGTCACATTCAAGAAAGGCCTTCTCTTTGGCCTTACATATGCACTTTTACCTGCTGTTTATGGATTTCTGAAGATTTCATGTAGTATAAGTGTTATATCCTGGATATGCTATACTGGCTGACATTTTTTTAAAAATAGGTACCCCTACTCCCCTCTATATTTTACCCTTTTTTCAGAGTTCTACAAGTTCTTAAGAGGTTTGCCAGGTATGACATAAAATGTTTAGCTTTCTCTCAAAGTAGAGGAGATAAATTACAGTAACAATTGATTTTTGCCATGTTACAGCATTAGTAAAATGTATGTTTTGCAATAATAATTATGTGCTATTAATATTTATGTCCCTCCGTGAATTTCACCAAGATTCCTGTACTAGCACAATAGGAGGAATTTATGTTCATACCAGTCATCTTTTTTAGAAGAAGGAAGAAAAACTGTTCCTCATTGTTCACCATCTCTGAGAACATTTTGTTCATATTATTTGCAATTAGACAGTTTGCATCTGGAAAGAGCAGCATAGGAATGAGCACTCAAATGTTGGGAAAAACCTGGGGATGTATGTGTTAGAAGGTCCATTAGTAAAAAAGGCTTGAGCTTGTCAGTTATATCAGTGGTCTCTCCAGAGAAACTAAGGGAAGGCTGTGTCTTCTTGCTTGATTTAATTCAGTTTTCATCTGTTAATGGGGTATCACTGAGGGCTGACAATTCAAATATCAAATTGGAATTCTCCTTGTCCGCAGATCTATTCAATTGAGTAGCAACTCAAACTTGCCATTTTAAATGTGTGAACATGCTGGGCTGCTTGCTTCTGAGGAAATTCAATAATCCTTGTGGTGATTGAACAGATATTGATGGAAATGCATTACCTGTTACTAAGGTGCCCCTGTAGTAGCTTTTTGCAATCTGGTGCCCTTTGGTGTCCCACAAGTCCTGCCTTCCCCAGCAAGCATGACCCACAAAAGGAGTTCAACACAGTTGAAGGGCATCAGGATAGGGAAGGCTGGCTTACATTCCATTCCCAAAGAGGAGCATTAAACAATGACTTCACTTAGGCTTCAGTGCAAAGTACACTAGCTTTCCCTAGAACATGTGCCTGGGGAAGAAGCTGGAGCAAGAATGCCATAACTGAAATATAAAGTGATGTTCCAATATAAATTTCAGGAACACTGCAAAATAATCCCCCCACCCCAACACACACTCACTAGTTAGAGGTGGTTGCTTTAATTGGAAGCACTTTTTAACAACTGGGACTATAACAATGTAATTTTGCTTCCTGTAATTAAAAGCAGGTATAGATAAGGAATTAATTGTGTGCTACTTAGAAATTTGGATTTTTAAAGTAAAATAGCTGATAGAATGACACTATCCTAATATATACATGCTGTTGCTATTTTTAAAAAAGGCTCCATCCTTTAAAAAGTAGCAAACAAAAATTAAGTAAGATCTGATTGTTTCTAGGCAGATTAGAGCAGTTTATTTTCATCAGTTGAAAAGGAAATGTCTATGATTGGAAAGCGGAATGTAAAATACATTCATAATACAGAAATCACAAAATTGGTTCTTTAGATAGAAAAACTTCCATTAAGTTAATGTATCTGATTGAGGCATTGGTTTAGTTTAAAGATTTAGGTTGCAATCCTATGTATATTTAGAAAGAAGAATGTTCATGCTGGCTCAGGAACACAGAGTTCCGTGTTCTGTCTAAAACATTTGTAGAATTACAGCCTGAGACTGCAGTCCTCTATATACCTGGAATGTTCCCATGGAACTCTTGGACTAACTTCCCAGTTGGCATGCATAGGAGTACACTATAACTAGGACTATTGCACTTCTTGCCAGATTATGTGATCCTAACTGAATTGCTATTTAAGAGAAATTCAGTATTTACATTTAAAAATAATTTGTTTTTAAACTTCATATTTACCTTTAAAACATTTTATCCACCCTAGCAGTCTGTAGGTTTGTAGTCTGTAGTTTCTATGTCTGCAAACTAACATTGCATCCTGTGAATAGCCTTGCATCATAACATCTCCTCCTGTTTCCCCTGGGCTACCTGTTTCATTACATGTCAATATTGCTCATTAACACTGCATTGAGGCAGAAGCTTACTCCACTATGAATATACAGTGCTATCCTACACATGCTTACTTAGATGTATGTCCATTGAGTTTGAATGAGCTTACTCTCAAGTATGTAAACATAGGGTTGCAATTCCAGTGTTAAACTAGAAGTGGAGTAAAAGGTACCAAAAGGAAGTGGTATGTGCAAGTGTGCAGCTTTGGCACTGCAGCCCCTGTTCCTGTCATTGCCAACCCTGCTCAATTCTTGACTAGACTAGCCATGAGCAGTGTGGAGAATGGTAAAGCTGTGTGTGCTTGACATTCAATGAAACCTCTGTCTGGGAGCAAGTTGAAATTGTATATCTGAAGAGTAATGCTCTTTGTAGCATAGTATGTATTGCAGGGGTGGGAAACCTCTAGCCCTTGAGATGATATTGGACACTGATTCTCATCAGCCTCAACAGGCATGGTCAATCATCATGAGAGATGACAGTTGTAGTTTAGCAATATCTGACCACAGATTTTATACCCCTCCTGTAGTGTATCATCAATTAAGCGTAGGATGTTATTTTCCCTTTACCTATTCCAAACCTTGATTATAGAGATCAGGAAGATTAAACTTGTAGATAAATAATTAGTTTCTATTATAATTTATTCTTTATTAAATTGTTGATCAACTTTGCAATTCAGTCATATCACGTGTTCTCAACCAGGTTCACTCATTCAAATGAATTGATATCAACATCAGTGTATATAAAATAATCACAATGCTTTAAAGACTGAAAAATGAAATAAATAAAATGATATATATAAATCTATATAGATTTTTAAAAGAGGTCTCAAGATTCCACTTTATGCTTTCAATATCTTGTCCCACTCTAATGTGATCATGAGATTAATCAAGGATTGTGGTGTGTAAATAAGAGCAAGTTTGATTTTTAATGGCTGGGGTTACTTACTGGTATCTCTGAGTGTGCTTTCCCCAACCCCAGTATGATGGCTATCATTCATTCCAATGAAAAAAGTAAACTCTAGCCTTCATCGATCTGATACTGTTTATCACTCCTGAAGTTGAAAAGGTTAACTAACACCAACAGACACACAATGAGGGGTATAAATGTCCATTCTGAAGTTATGGAGGAGCAATGTTTTAAATACCTTCCACTCCCTGAAGACCAAGAAACGTTTGGGAGGGGGAACTGGGAACCTGAACACTGCTTCTTTCCTCACCTGCATCCCAAACAGAGTTCACATTTGAGGTGAGGTAATTCTTTACTGTCTTCATGGAGCCCATGTTTGGTTTTGGGAAAATAGAGAGCAGGGCCATATTTAGTAAAGCTCTGGTGGAGTGGTTGCCTCAGTGATGAATGTCAGAGGAGTACAGCTGAAATTCTTCATCCTCTGACACTCTTACATCAGTCATTAGGTTACTAGTCCATTTGAACCAGTTGTGTATACTCTGACTGGTAGCCACATTCCAAGGTCTCAGTAGAAGTCCTTGATCCCTGTTTTTATTTTTGTTTTAATAAGCAATAATAGGGCTGAGCTGGGGAAATCACCTATATTAAACATAAGCTGTGCCTGAGCATATCTTTCCCAATAACCATATGAGCTTATCTACAATATTATTGTGAGTATATTAAGGATAGTGGAAGAATGGTGTACTCTAACTCTATCAAGGGCTTCTTGGAAAAAAGCCAGGCTATAAATTAACAAATATAATTGCTAATATACATATAAAACTGGCTTGGAGAGTTTCATTCATTCATTCATTTATTGAAGTTATAAAACTGCAGCCAGTAGTCCCAAACAGGACTCCCATCATTCTCTAGGACAAATTTCTCTAACCTAGTGCACTCCCAATATATTGTCCTACAACTCTCAACATCCCCTCATCAACAGAGGAACCCAGGATATGATAATGCAGAATTGTGCTTAATTCCTAATAGCTTCAAAATAGACATTGGAACGAAATAAGCAAGCTAAAATCCAGAAACAAGATGTGAAGGGGGATAAGATAGCTGTTCTGAGAATTTTGTAAATTGAGGTATAGCATAAAAATGACAATTCCTTGCCATCCAAAGTCATAGAGATAACCTATTTGCACAAAGGTATTTTGGTTTATACAGCACATTGGCCAAACATACAGAACTTGTTCAAACAGTACCAACCATGATCAGACATATAAATATGAAATTAAACATTGCAAATCAGTGTTGACCTACTAGGAATATGCCAATTTTTATCAAGTTAATAGATATTTTTAGTATGCTAGAAATTACCATATATCCATTGCTAGTCATATTCAGCACATGTTGATTGCAAAAATACATTTCTTGCTAGTAAAAACATAAAGCAATTCAGCTAATGCCTGTCAAAGAGTTGAATGTTCAGAAGATGGAGTTTTTCACCCTTGTATCGCTGGGTGAGTACAAACACAGTGCCAGCTGTCTGTAACTGATTGAGGGTTCAAAATTAAATGGTAGAAATGTTTATTCCCATCCTTGCCCCTGCCATATCTTTCTTCTATCTTTCCCAGCTCTTCCCTCCTTGTAGTTATATCAAACTTGATTTGAAATCATAAGGAACAAACTTTGCTTATTGCTAGAACAGATGCATTACTGAGCTATGGTTATGGGTGAGAATTCAGGCATCGTAATTGATTCACATGATTACTGTAGGTTAAACAAGCCATGGTGTCATCTTAAAGTTGTGACATGTGGACACCTAATCATCCACCTGGGTGCAAATTGTTTGGTTGACTGGGTCTGGGCAGCATGACTCTTTGGAGGAGAAACAGCCCTCAAACAACCCATCAGCAGCCCATGGGTCTCTGCTATACACCACTAAACACTTAAACAAGGCACCACAGTAGACAAAGGGTAGAAGACTATCTGCATTTGAGAGTGGGGAGGGTAGCAGAGAAGTAAGCACACACTTCTGTAGCCCAGCCCTTATAGGAAAGTAAGCAGAGGTGAACTACAAAGCAGATACCAAAGGATAATGCATATAAGTGCATTTCAGCAAATGCCTTCAAATGTCCCAGTGTAAATCTCAATAGACAAACCCCAAATCGATGTAAGACCAGCAGCATCATTATGAATGATGCATTGCTAATACAAATCAATGTAAAATTGATAAAACCCAAAGTACAAAAATTAACATTTGATTTGAACACTAGAATTGCATCATTGTAAAGGAACATTTACAGCAGATTTATAAAACAGATAATTACTAAATTTTAAATGAAAGCCATATATATCTGGCATGGAAAGGATTCATATTTCCAGACTAAATAGGTAATGGTCAAAATAGTGGTTATGTCCACTACATAGGAATATACATCTAAATATAAGCCAAAACAATGGGGCTAACTTGGATACAAGGAGAGGGAGGGTCAAAGCTCCTCTTCCAAACCCTTCTCCCACCCCACCCCCTTTCTATTTACAAACTCCTGGGGGAGCGGGGGCAAATAGAGCAGTGGTATTTACAGTAAGAATGGTGCTTAGTTGATCCTTCTAACTGGAGGTGTCAAAGGTTGGACCCTTCCAGGGCTGTAGCAAGTTGAAATGTTTTTAGTCCCTTTTGTCAAGTAAAAGTTAAAACAGGGTAAGCTCAAACTCAGGAAGTCCCTTCAGTACAGTTTTAAACATGTAAACCCATCTATTTTCCATGCTTCCTTCCATCATGATGTGTGTTGCAAGAAGAAATTGCACATTTTACAGATTTGTGTATGTCGAGAGTAAAGGTTTTTAGGTGAGAAGCTTCATATACACACTTAGCAGCCTCACACACTTCTTAGGCACTTCTACTGGTGGGAGAATGGGGGAAACAGTTTTTAGCGATTCTTCCACCTGCAGTGCTGAAAATCTGGAACAGTATAGGAGATGGCAAAGGGGCCTGCAAAGGGGAAAGGTTATAATGAAAATAATCTTTACTTTTTATTTTTCCAGCTGAAATGTCTGCTGGATTGGAGTCCCTTCTTCATTTGAAAAGAGCTCTTCAGTTCATGGAGCATTAGTTAAGCTGTCTCATGTAGTTAAACATTAATTTTCACACTGACAATTCATTTCATTTTAATAAAATAAACATTTTATTTTGATGTATCTCATATTTGATTATGATCACATTGCATTGACATTGTGACCAGTAAGGCATTCTGTACTCATTACTCAGAAATTAATTTCCAGCACTGAGATGTTATATAAATAATAGCTGAACTTACAGAATTCTGTTACCACTGATTAAGGCTGTAATTTTAAGCCTATTTTCCTGGGAGTAAGCCTAATTGAACTAACTAGAGTTCAGTTTACCTCCCAGTAAATATACAGAGTATTGTGCTGTAAGTGACTCAAGAAGCACAGTTGCTTTTTTAAAAAAAGAATTATCTCCCCTCCCCTCCGTATTTCTTTATTGAGCCTCCTTGTTTCCTTTGCAGTGTTGGACCATTTCTGCAGTTCCAACAGTTAGTGCCCTTTCTTTCCCATGCTTTTTCAACAGTTATGGCCATTCAAGAAAGAGCATCTCCAGCATCTCCATCTTGTCAGATTGGGAAAAAGGAAAGCAAATATGCTTCCCCATGTTATTTTTATGTACACTTTGTGCCAAGATTTGATTCTGAAATATTTTGGCACAGTGCTTTTCAACTATTTAGGAAAGAGAAGGAAGGAAAAAGATCCATCAGCATGATGTGCTTTCTAGGGCTTTGTAGATTTTTCAGTCATGGAGTTATTAGCCTTGTCTCCAGTTCTTGGTCAGATCCTGTGACTCTTGTATTATGATGGTCGAGATGGGTGAAACAACTATAATGAAGTGATTAGCAACAATTTTTTAAAATCCCTCCAGGTGAGCATTTTCCAGCTTCATTATCTGCTAACATACTATTATTGAAATAAAAGAGAAATAATTATATTCCTACAATCTGTTCTTATATCAATCTACATTGTGCAATAAGAAGTGTGTTCTACATATTTCAGGATTTTTTTCTCATTAACCTTTTTTAGAACTTGCCTTGTTCAAGAATGTATGGTTTTGAAATTCAGTTCTTGAGTTACAAAGGTAAAAACAATGAAGTATTAGAAAAATAATGTGCTTCCAAAGAATCAAATAATGGTGCTGGGTTATGCTTACAGTCCTACTGTACAAGAAGAAATGTGACTAATATTGATCTAAATAAAATACTCTTTAGCACTACAAAACTAAATCCTCACTTTCTAATTATTTTTAATCCCGCACAATCTTTTCTAAGGCAGTGTGTGTTTTGTAGTTAGTTAATCTCTCAGACCAAGAGACTATTTAAATTCAACTCATAAATGGCCTTCTGTACCAGATTTCCTAAAATAGTTTGCAACATAAATAAATTAACTACAATATAGAAGTTAAAACCAGAGACCTCCAACCATATGTAAGCTAAAAGGGAGTTTTTGTGCTTGTCTCAAGTGGATGTTGTTAATTGCTGATGGAAGAAAATTCCTCTTAAAGATCCATCATCAAAAATAAACTGCTGCCAACAGTGACAGTGTCTCATCTGATGAGGGGGGTGGGGTGCAACACACAAACAGGCTTCATTTCTGGATCTTAAAGCATAGGGAAACATAGGTGGGAAAATATATTTTGTCAGCTATCCTAGACAAATGGAATATGGCCTTGAAAACTAATTGGTGACTAAATAGGTCCTGTTTCTATTGGAGTGGTACCAAAGAGAGTGGCCTTCTTCATTTTCCATTTACAGTTTTGTGCAAATTGAAGTTTGCTGTGGCATGCAAACTGGTAAACCTTGGTTTGCACATGTCCTCCAAAACAGAATTGGAAAAGCACTTCAAACTATGTTTTCCAATTCTTAATTTGGAAGGCAAGTACAAGCCATGGTTTATCAATGCATTCATCATGACATGGATATCCTACTGTGTTTCCCCGAAAATAAGACCTAGTACTATTTTTGGTACTTGCTAAAATATATGACCTACCCCAAAAATAAGACCTAGCTGTGTTTATTACCAGGGCCAGTGGGGAACATAAAGAGCCTTTTTAAACTTTATTTTTTAACTTAACTTTAACTTAATGCACTGTGTGGAGGAAACCTCCGTGGTACAGTGAGCTAACAAAGAGTGTTGCAGGGGATGTGGCAGTTAGCAAATGATGATTACTGATGATTAACAAAAAAACTTTTCAGTCAGCACCTGGCACCTGCCCACAGGAGTTGGCGCTATAGAGAAGCCAGGCAGCAGAGAGAACAGAGCTGCAGAAGCCGATGCTTCCTCTAAGCGCCTGCTCCTGTCACAGGCGGAGTGATACCAAATATACTCTGTCTGTGAGGAGTCGATGGTGAAAGCATGCTTTGCTCATTCTGGCCAGCAATTAGTTACCAAATTGCTCTTGGGAAGGTACGGCACCCCTGATTGCCCTGATCACCCTATTCTTAATTTTGCCATTCACTCCTGTCTTGTAAGTCTTCTACTCGTACAGTATTATGGTATTATGGTATGGTACCATATTTAATGGTAGATTTAAACAGAATATTATTTTGACCCTCAGAAAAGATGAGTGCAGAAAGAAAGAAAGCTATTCTGTCGATTACAAGAAAAGAATCGTAGAGGACTCGTGCAGCAAGAATCTTACAGTTTACTGCAAAGAGAAGACGTTGGATCTACGATTGGTCCGAAAATGGCAAGCAGATCACTGTGTTTCCCCGAAAATAAGACGTAGTGTGTTTTTATGAGCCAAAAAATATATATAAGACAGTGTCTTATTTTCAGGGAAACATGGTACTTTGTACGAAGAGAAAATGAAAAGCGAGGCAGCATGCAAGTACATGCCTCATTTGAAAAATTCTGTGAAACTGAATTTGTTTTCATAACCTTTTGCAGCTATGAGGCTGAAAATATTTCTTAAATGAAACTATGATTGAAAGTTAACGATCAAAGGTTACATTAACCTTTGATTAATAGATCATATCCCATTACAACTAGGTGGCCTAGGGATGAACCGTTTTGTGGCAGCAAATAGAGCCTACAGTGTTCAAAGTGGTCTCCTTAGCTTGGGTATTAGCTCTTGTGAAAGCCTTATCTTTGTGTGTAGTATTAATATAGGCATGCAATGTGAATTTTGAGTTGCATAAAAAGCTATTAATGTAATGTAAGAAATGTAATGAATGATAATATTAAGGATCTGTATATTAGTCCAATAAATATATATTTCTTGTATATTAGTCCAAGAAAAACAAGTCAGATTCAAAAGCAAGAGATAGAGACAATATCATCCTAAACAAAAATCTTTCATTCTGTGTATTTTTCAGTTTTCCTTGACATCTGAAATCTGAACAGAGTTTCCTATGAATACTGAACACTCCCTTTTAAACTTCACAGAAGTTTCTGCTACCTATTTCTTTCTGCAACCCCCACCTCAAATTTGGTTCTAGTTTCAGGGGAAATGCTCAGACATCTGGTCATCTTTTCCATTAAGGGGCTAGTTCATGTGGTGAAGTCCTTTTGGTTGTGCTGGAATAATATTGATGCCAGAAGAGTTCAGATTGGCTCTGAATATTAAGCATTTCATAGAAAACAAGTCAGTGGTTCATAAATAATTCAGTGTAATTTGAATGTCACATTAAGATGAATATTGTGAAAGGTACCATGGCATTCCCCGGAACAGCAAATCAGTATACAACAAAATCATAATTGGGCTTTTATTTCATGCCAGAAATTCTTGATTGGCATTTTAATGTAACTCTGACATTGTGGTTCCATTTCTGTTACATGAGTAGTTACGTAATTCTGTTTTTATGATACCTCAATCTTTCATGTGACGAACAGTGTTCGTCTTGGGTTTTTTGAAAGAATATGCAACACTGGAAGCAAACTTAAACCCAGTGTATTGGATACAGAGAAAAGCATGTGAAATGGAACTATTGGAAGCTACCTTTGCCTCTTCTCCCTATGGAAACTTCTGCATTCACCACAAAGAGTCTCCCAAGTATCAGGAAGACATGCTGAACTCAGGAGACTTTGGTGCAAGAGGGGAGGCAGGTAAGGCAGGGGCATCTCCCAAAATCTTGCACAGTCAACTCCACAGGTGGCAGGGTTGTGCATTTTTTGTGTGTTACTCCTGATTGATTTGCGCTTTTATCTCTGTGGCTACTAAAACTGTAAATGTTACTTTAAACCAAAATTAGTAATTATGTAAACAAAAGTTATAATGCAATACAAGATTTCTGGTAACTAATAAATTTGCAATGCAAATTTTATAATTTAAAAAAAGAATTTACAGAGTTCTTACCAAAGAGATAAACCAATAGTAATTAAGTAAATCATTATCATTGTAGATAACTAAATGACCATGGAATCTGGTGCAGAGAACCAACAGAGTGGAGATGCAGCTGTTACAGAAGCAGAAAACCAACAGATGACAGTGCAGGCACAGCCACAAATTGCAACGTTAGCCCAGGTACAGATTTGTTTCAATTGATTCATTGTGTGTACTATTTTCTCTGTCCCCGCCATCCAAATCTTCCCATTTCAAAGCAGACATTTCTCCTGTCTTGTTTGAAAACGGGAATAGTCTCTGCAGATGATCTCCCAACCCAGTCTCTTAAATGGCACCAGATCTCTGGCAGATTTCATACTCACATGCAATACTTCAGTCACAGGGATTATTACAGTCTAGGGCATGGGTCCTCAGACTACAGCCTGCCATGCCCATTTATCCAGCCCTCCATAGAGGTTTTGGACTCGTGCACGCATGCGCATGCAGCAAGGCAGCGGCTTGCTCATGTAGAGATCATTTTGGACTCTCTCAGATAAAACAATCTCCCCCCACCTCACCCCAGCCTGTGCCCCCCACCCACACCACCTTGGCAGTCCATGCCCATCACCGGCACCTTTCAACTGGCCCCCTGTTGAAAATGTTTGTGGACCCCTGGTCTAGGGAAATGGCTAGGACCAGTTTGGCTAGAGCACCAGTCAGCACCAAATAGTGAGTTGATAAATTGGACATTCATGTGTGCACTCACATTTTCCTAATCCTCTTCTGGTGCTAACATGATCCCAGAGGCTACTGGGTAAAGGATTTGAGGGTAATGCTCCCATCTGCCCTACTGCTGGCATGCTGCCATGGTCCAACCACATTTATTCTAAATGTTTGTAAACCACCCAGAGAGCCTTCTGGGCTATTGGGGTGTTATATAAATGCAATAAATAATAAAATAATAATAATGGATGCATAATCAAGTCAAGTTCAATATATTATATCATCACAAAATTCTCATTCAATACTAAAGCAAGTTCCAGAAAAGTGCATAAATTATCTTAATAAGCCACAATACAATCTTCTTGAACCAGGCCCAAGTGTTGTGAAATCAGCTGTGGCAGCTCAGAAATTAGTTCATTTGGTAGCAATTAGTATAGTAACAGCTTTTAACTTTTTCAAATTCCATAAGAAATATTACTGTTTAAGCATCAATCAACTTAACATTTATAACAGTAACATTTCTTATTAACTATATTAATTACTACAAAATGAACCAATAACCAACCCACTGTAGCTGATTCACAAGCTGGGCCTGATTCAGATGATCCCCTTGTGGTTTATTAAGGTGATTTAGGAACAAAACTTTCCCTTGCTCAAAATCTCTGCTTGCTTCTTTTTCTTCATGGTGCACAGGAAGAAACATAGCTCCAATTTGCCATAGTTTCTTATTTCATCTGTACTGGGAAATTTATTTTCCACCTTTCCTTTCAAGAAACTTGAACCAGCATACATAATTCTCCTCCTCTCAGCCTTATCTTCACAACAAGAACTCTGTGAAATAGGCTGGGCTGAGAGTCTGTAACTGGACCAAAGTCACCAAGTGAGCTGCATGGCTGAGCAGGGACTAGAGCCCAGATTTCTTGAATCCCAGTCCCACATTCTTAACTACTACACCATACTGGCTTTCATTAGTTAGCAGCTTTTAAATGAATTAGCATTATAAACCACAGTATGAAGCTGGTTTAAGATCCTTTATTTTTCCATACCTGGTAACCGTACTTTCCCAGTTTTGATAAAACGGGCAACTGTGATTAATTAGGTGTCTGGGTTTACTTGCTGCCTACTGCACAGGGAGCAGAAAAGGGACAGTGTGTGCAGCAGGAGGCCTGTGCATATCTTTGCATATTAATCCCCAAAATGACCATCTGAACATAGCTTTTGGGTAACAATCTTGTGATTAAACGAAAGTTAGCCCTATCATAGGTATTATTAAAATAATAAATAATAAATTTAAATAATTCTATATGGTGTTGGCATAGTAAGAGTTGCTCTGGAAAAGGTGGGGAGTGGGAGGCAACTGTGTGGTCACTGGACCTATCTCCTGTCAGAGAAGTATTCTAATTCCACAGGTATTAGTGGTCATTTTCCTAGTGTTTTGCAGAGTTCTCTCATTCATTGAGTAGATAGAAGACAACTTGCTGAACTCTACATAGTGAGCTCCATGGAAGAACAAGGATTTCTGGCATTCAGACCTAATTCTCTGGCTGTGCATTAGTTTGGATATGAAGTTGATACTGAAACTGCAGTAGGGAGGTAGTGTACTTTTCCCCTTGGCAGTTCTCCAATAAATGCCCTCTTCTGGTGCACCCTGAACCATATGCAGATTCACAATTTCTGCATGGCATATATTAGGGTTTTTAAATGGCTAAGCAAATTCTGTTCATTGAATGTTTGTTAGTTTTAACTTTTCAATTCTGCAGGCTATATATAGATCTATAGCAAACAAAGCAGTCTTGCATTCTCTGTTATGGAGAATACATAAATAATTGGGCAGAGGAATCCTGTGGCCACTAGGTCATTTCTAGGCATTTATAGAATGCTTCAATACCCAGCCATGAGGTTGGGAAAGTTTTCTGACCTCATAACTTGGAATGAGAGCTCCTAACTCTTTCCTGTCCTTGCACCAGCTGCATTTCCAAGGTCACAAAATCAACTTTGGAGAATGGTTTGTGGGGCAGGGAGTGAAGGAGACCAGTGCCAGCAAGTTACAGTATCCTTTGGTGATGTCTCAGTCTTCCTCCCTGCTCTATCAGCTGACTGTTTTGCAGAATGGAAGGAATGTGGAGGTAACATTTGCCTCCATGTTCCTTCCAGTATGCATAGGATGCCCATGATCCTCCAACTTCTGAGATTTACAGGCATCCCAGTTGGACTGCCATTGGTGGCATTTGTTACTTTTATAAAAGGAAGCCTACACAAGTGCCTGCAACTGTTTCCATTCATTGTGACTGTGTACAAGAGCTGCTTATTGCCTAAAGGCTTAATGGCCATTTCAAGGTATGTCAAATGTTCCATGCAAATATATCTGTCTATCACCATTTTAATACATAATAGGGAATTCCATTCTTCTATCGCTGTGGTGGATTTTACAGTAATTAATCACTCTCTCTTCTAGGTATCTATGCCAGCAGCCCATGCAACATCTTCTGCTCCTACTGTGACCTTAGTACAGCTGCCGAATGGGCAAACAGTCCAAGTCCATGGCGTTATTCAGGCTGCCCAGCCATCAGTTATTCAGTCTCCACAAGTCCAGACAGTTCAGGTACATTGAAAGGAATTTTCAAAACTATGTTGTCTCATGAAGCATTGAAACACCAGCCAAACTGTTGTATAGTGAGCCTCATTAGTCACCACATACCTATAACACGTCTGTTTAAATTTTTGAGGAAAAATGATAAGCAGTGCCTTAAAGCTATTTTTCTTTGATGTATCATAGGTAAGTAATTTGTGCTACGTAAGATGAAAAAGCGACTTCAGGATTGCACGTTCAGAACAGGTCTGAAGGCCAAAAACCTCATGGCTCCTGATCATTTCATTTGGCTCCACTCTGCTTTTGTTCCTCCCCATTTCCTTGGAGCATATCAGCATGTGTGAAGTTTCTGAGGGTCATAGGCAGAATTTGGCTTCAGTCACAGATTTTTCTGGAGAGACATAACTGTGATAAGAGGAGGCTGCTTGCAGAAGGAGACCCCAAAGTGGCTGGGTTAGCCTTTTAAGGTGCTATCAAAAGTGCATGTATGAGGAAAAAGGAGAGGTTCCAGGGTAGATCGATTCCACTGGGCAGCCTGTCAGTCCATTGTGAATGACAAAGGGCATAAGATGGGAACTCTCCAGGTTAGCCAGAGAGTGATGCAAGGCTCAGTGCCTAGACATCCTGGAAGCATCTGTTTGACCACTGTGTGTGGAGGGTGTGGAGCTACAGCAATCTTGAGTAATTCAAGAGGGCTCTTCTCATGTTCTTAAAAATACCAGATAAATTTTATATTGCAAGAAGAAAAAAAAGGTGGAATATAAATGCAATGTAATAATTTGTTGTTGTTGTTAGTCGTGAAGTCGTGTCATAAATTCAGTAAGTTCTTTTTTCCACTTTTGAGAACTAGTAATCACAAAGCTATATCTTGTACCCTTGGGCAGGTAACACTCCCCTGCTCCTTGCAATTAATACATCCCCCAAATGAAATCATTTGGATAATGACCATTGTTCTCGCATTGCACATTATGAGTTCTGTAGTTTCTTCTGTCCATGCTAACTAGGTATCAGATTTCTCCTCTTTGACATATCAAACCCACCAGATTTCAGATGGCATGCAGGAATTTCTGACTACTCTGAAACAAGATAAGAGCCAGATAACAAAAGTGTTTGGAATTTAGAAGGAGCAGATTAAAAGCAAGAATGTAGTAGGAATGTTGAAATACATAGTCAAATGTTTCACAAGCCTTCATGGTTCTCTTGTGTATTGTGTAAAACTTAAACTGATCAGCACCCTGTAGTTCTGAAGCTGTTTATGTCCCACAGATGTGATGTTGTTAATGTCTATAGACATGGGCTTTTCTTCTTCAAATTAAAAAAATGTTGCTATTTTTTAAAGAAGTACAGTTTGCCACAGTTTTCATATTCACCAGTCATCAAGTTGAGCAAATGCTAGCCAGAACTGAACTGATAGGGATGCCTTGTCTGCCACCTTCTACAAACTAGATATCTTGATTTTGAATCTATTTGATATCACAGATATTAAGTTTTATAGAATTCCTTATTCCATCAGTATTTATGTAAAAAAAACTCCATGACTAGAAGTGACAGGAGACCACAAATTCTTAGATCCGCACCCATTTCATGTATAGAGAATGACTTTTAATGCCAGTTAGATCATATTCTCATCTTTAAATCTGTTCCTTGCTATTTTTTAAAAAACTCTAGCAATACTGTGCTCTTATTTCTAGATCTCCACTATTGCAGAAAGTGAAGATTCACAGGAATCTGTGGACAGTGTCACAGATTCCCAGAAACGCAGAGAAATCCTTTCCAGGCGACCCTCCTACAGGTAGGAATTTAATTTCTGTTGCATAGATGCAGTACAGTAGCATATGAAGGATTTGCTATCTACTCCTATGTATGACTTCAAATAATTAGGATCTGGTGACATGCCCCAAAAATGTAATTGGTGTAACATTTTATTTTTCTTAGTAACTGGTCTCTTTGTTCTACAGTCCATAGAAGATCTACTTCAACATATACTGTGTGCATAAAGTATATTAATGGTAAACATTATCTCTCTGCCTAGGGGAAGGCTATATTCCATACGAAGAAATAAGAACTCAGACTGTCTTCTGTATAACCAACTTGTGAACAAAAATCATATACAAGGGGGAAATTACTAGCATTACCATAACTTGTTTTATTTTATAGAGTAGAGTATGATAAAGTAGAATGAGTCTCAAACAAATCCCCGACCTACACATTTTTAGGGCCACTTGTTGACAGAGTTACACCAGCAGTGGGGAAATGCCAATGTATACCTGACATTATCCAAATAATGGCATATCTCCAAGATCTATCTGGGCAAGAAACCCTAAATTCTAAAGCTTTCTGGATGGTATAATGTAAATATAGGTTGCTCCCTCAAACCTTCATTTCTCTTAATTCTCCTAACTGTCTCCTTTTTGGCTGCAGATCTGACCAGACCTTTGCCATCTTTCTTTATCATCTCAGGTTCTCATGTTGCTTCCACGTTCTGTGGGACAACCATTGAACTGATGCCCTTCAGCTGTGTTGGACTGCAGCTCCCAGCCTGGTGAGCTAGGGGATTTTGGGTGTTGCAGTGCAACACTTTTGGAAGGCACCAGCCTGGTCAGGCTTGGCAGCACTAGAAGGTTGCCTGGACTTAAAAATCACTTTGATTTATTGTAACTCCTTAATACCCAACCTCTATTTGGTGTCTTATGATCTTCCTTATTCCCTTCACTCTGTGTTTCATAAGCTATTTGCTCATTCCTTGATCCATTCTTGTATGAATCCATTTGGTGTTCCTTCCCCTAATACGTTCAACTTTTAATGTTCTTTTCTTTTTAAAAAACCTGGTCAAAACACTCTTCTTTCATAAGTTGGTTTCTAGGCTCAGCACACTCCACACCTTTTATTTCTGTTTCTCTTCTACTCTTCTGCTTGAGTATTACTTGATTTAGATTTTGAGCTATCTTTTAGAAGCTTTTCAGTGCTTAATAAATACTTGTTATTGTTAACTGCTTCTGCAACTATATAGCTTTTTACCTGTTTAAAGTACAAATCTGCTATTTGAAGGATTAGCAAAGGTACCAGATCCAGCTGTTCAGAGACACCATTGCCTTCACTGACCATGTTCACATGGTTGCTTTGGCTCATTGTGACATACTTTATTTTATTTATTTAATATTTATTTATTATTTTATTATTTGCTTGTTTATTATTTTTATTTTATTTATTGTAGAGTCCTGGCTGTCCCCAAGTTACGAGCATCTGAGTTACAAACAACTCATCCTTGCCAGCAGGCCTATTAATTTTTTAAAAAATACTGCAGAAAGTCATCATTATCATAGAGCAAGAGGCAGGGATACACTTGCCCTCAGTGCAAGCTGGTGACCCTGCTAGAGGAGGTGGTGAGGTGCCTGAGGGCTGAGAGAGCTCTCCAGGCCCCCTGGGAGCAGCCCCACTCTGGACAGAGGGTTGAGGGAGAGACCACGGGAGGAGCAACCACGGAGACATGGGGGCATGTCACCCGCAGGAGGAGGAGGAAGCCAGCACAGCCTCCTTCTCCTCTTGGCACCAATCTGGAGCTGGGAAACAGGTTCTCTCCACTTGGGGAGGCTGGGGCCGATGAGGCCTTGGGGGACCAGCAGGACCCCCAGCCTGGGACCACAAGCGGCAAGGGGGCCGCTGCAGGAGAGGCAAGGGCCAGGGCACAGCCGCCCACCACCACTGGGAAGACACGGTGGTGGGTGATTGTCATTGGGGACTCCCTGCTGAGGGACACTGAGGCGGTGGTGTGCTGCCCCAACCTTGAGGCGAGGTTTGCTGGCTGCTGGGCGCACGGATCCGGCATGTGAAGGACAGAGTGAAGCATCTTGTTTGCTCTGGGGGTCACCAGCTGCTTCTGGTGATCCATGTGGGCACAAACTACGTAGCCAGGCAGGGTGTGGTCGGGATCACAAGGGACTTCAAGGCCTTGGGGAAGAAACTCAGGGAGCTAAAGGCCCAAGTAGCCTTCTCATCGATCTTACCTGTCCGGGGATTTGGGCCAGGCAGGGACAGGAGGGTCGCCGAGGTGAACGACTGGCTTAGGGTGTGGTGCCAGAAGGAACGCTTTGGGTTTCTCGACCACATCATCCGGTTTCTTGCCAATGGACTTCTGGCAAGGGACAGGTTGCACCTCGCGAGGATGGGGAAAAGGTCCTTTGGAGATGCTCTAGCAAGCTTCGTCCAGAAGACTTTAAACTGAGCCGGGGGGAGGGGTGGGTTCAGACCCCGCAGAAACATGACTGCACTGGACGAGTGTGGGGAGAAGATCAGGGCTCTGGGAGCAGGGTTTTAGAGGTACTGCAGGGACTGACAGGACTCCTACAGAGAAGGGCCAGGTATCAAGGAGGATGGGAGGAAGGAGGAGGCTGGGGGCACCAAGGAAAGGAAGCGGTGGGAAGGAGTTGAGGTGCATGTACACCAATGCTAGGAGCAGGGACAATAAGCAGGAAGAGCTTGGATCTCTCCTGGGAATAGGAGGGTATGACCTGGTGGGAATCACAGAAATTTGGTGGGATGAAAAGCAAGTCTGGAATGTGAACATAGAAGGGTATCACCTTTTTAGAAAGGACAGGAAGGGAAAGAGAGGTGGGGGCGTGGCTTTATACGTCAGGGAAGGGATAGGATGCAGTGAGATAGAATGCAGCACAGATGGGGATTCGGTAGAGGCAGTCTGGGTGAAACTTAGGGGTTTTGACAGGGAAAGAGACCTGACCGGGGGGGGGGGGTATGTTATCGTCCTCCAGGCCAACTTGAGACCCTGGATGATGTCCTGATAGACCAGATTCTAAGGATGTCTCAGGGGAGAAACAGTAATTATGAGAGATTTCAGTCTCCCGGATATTACTTGGGAGACTCACTCAGCGGTGACAGCCAGGTCGCATTGCTTCCTAGAAGCTATAGAGGGAGGGTTTTTCCACACAGAGGGTCCAAGAGGCGACGAGGGAGGGAAACATCCTTGACTTGGTCTTGACCAATAGGGAGGAGCTGATAGATGAAGTACAGATTGGGGGAGCTCTGGATGCAGTAATCACTCCATCGTTTGCTTTGAGATCAGGGGACTGGGGATGTTTAGCAGGTCAAGCACTAGAAGCTGGGACTTCAAGAGGGCCAACTTTGGCCAACTGAAGGCCAGACTGGGGAAAGTCTCCTGGGATAGGTTCCTGGAAGGTTACTGGAGTTGAGGAGTGGCGGATGGCACTCAAAAGGGAGGTTTTGGAGGCGCAAGCCTTAACGATACCTCTAGTTAATAAGGGGGGGAGGTGGAGGAGAGCGCTGCCATGGATGCGAAAGGAGGTGGTTAGAGGGATTAGACGAAAGAGGAACCTCCATAGGAAATGGGTACGGGGGCAAATAGACAAAAGGGTATACCGGGAGGAGGAGGCCCGTTGCAGAAGGATTCTTCACAAGGCTAAGGCTGATTACAAGCTGAGACTTGCCAAGAATATCAAGAGCAACAAAAAGGGCTTCTTTCAGCATGTAAATAGGAAGAGGAAGGGGAGACAAGTGGTGGGACCACTAAATAAGGAGGAAGGAGATCCAGTGACTGATATGAGGGAACAGGCACAGATGCTAAATGACTATTTTGCCTCTGTGTTCTCCCCAAAGCGGGACTGGGGATACCCGCATAGGAGATTAGATGAGGCCGGGGACTTAGGGGCACAGATTAGAGTCACCCCCTAGAAGTCGAGGGGCTTCTCAGGGCATTGAACATTACAAAGGCGCCAGGCCCTGACAGTTTACATCCAAGAGTACTTAGAGAGTTGGCAGGGGTTCTCTCACACCCTCTGGCCTCCATTTTTGAGACTTCGTGGAGAATGGGTGAAGTTCCAGAGGACTGGAGGGTGGCATCAGTGGTCCCAATTTTCAAAAAGGGTAGTAGAAGGGACATGGGGAATTGCAGACCAGTTAGCCTTGTGTCCATTGTAGGAAAAACAATGGAAAGTCTCATAATAGAGAGATCTCTAGTGATGCTAGATAGGCATTTCTACGACAAGGTTTCGAGATGGCTAGATGGAGGGGATGCAGTGGATGTGGTTTACCTGGATTTCAGCAAGGCCTTTGACAAAGTGCCCCATGACATCCTGGTGGGGAAACTGAGGAGTTTTGGGATACACCAAAGCACTGTCCGATAGATTAGGGCATGGTTGACTGACCGAAAGCACAGGGTAACCATTAGTGGGGAATCATTGGGATGGCAGCCAGTGACAAGCAGGGTCCCCCAAGGCTCTGTCCTGAGGCCAATCCTGTTTAGTCTTTTCATAAATGACATGGAAAAAGGGGTGAACAGTCTGCTGATCAAATTCGCAGACGATACTAAAGCTGGAGCAGTGGCCACAACTGAGGAGCAGGTACTCCAGATCCAAAAGGATCTGGACAGACTATGGAAATGGACAGGAGACAACAGGATGGTGTTCAATGTGGATAAGTGCAAGGTCTTGCACTTGGGCCACAGCAATAGGTGTCATAAGTACAGGTTAGGGGACAAGTGGCTGGAGAGTAGCACTTGTGAAAGGGACCTCGGGGTGCTGGTTGACTGCAAGCTAAACATGAGTCAGCAGTGTGATGCGGTGGTCAAGAGGGCGAATGCCACCCTTGCTTGCATAGCCAGAAGTGTGGCTTCTAGATCGAGAGAGGTATTACTACCACTCTATACGACTCTGGTGTGCCTGCAACTGGAGTATTGTGCTCAGTTTTGGGCCCCTCATTACAGAAAGGATATAGCCAGGTTAGAGTCAGTGCAGCATAGGGCCACAAGGTTGGTGGCTGGTTTGCAGGGGATGGGGTATGAGACGAGATTGAGGGAACTGGGTCTCTTCAGCCTGGAGAAGAGGAGACTCAGAGGGGATGTGTTGGCAACATACAGGTATTTGAGGGATGTCACGTGGAGATGGGTAGAGACCTGTTCTCCCCTGCAGAGGAAGGCAGGATGCGCTCCAACGGAGCAAAGCTCAGGGAGCCAAGGTTCCATTTGGATGCCAGGAAGCACTTCCTGACAGTTAGGTCCCCCAGGTGTGGAATGGGTTTCCCCGGGAGGTCGTTGAGGCCCCATCAGTGCGGGTGTTCAAGGATAGGCTGGACATGCACATGGTGGGCATGTCGTGGGCGAAGCCGGCTGGAGCTGGGGGTCAGACCTGATGGCCCGGGAGGCCCCTTCTGACTCACTGTTTCTATGTTTCAGGAAGAAAAACTAAGGAAAGAGATAATAGATATTTATAAAATGATGCATAGTGGTGATAAAGAACCATTTTTCTTTTATCAATAACATTCAAGGTTTTCTAACTCTAGGTACAACTAAATCTAGCAGCAGTAGACTGAGGACAGAAAAGAAAGTGCCTCTTCACATTGAATTCAGTGACATACAGTGTGGGGAAAAGAAATCCAACTGATCCATAGAGGATGGCATTATTGGTAGCTATTAGCAGGGAGCTAAATGAACCTGTAGATTCAACACCTGCAGACATCTGAATGCCAATTGTTGTCAGGATAAATGGCAGGAGAGGAGTTCTTGCCTTCATAGATGTCCACTAATGAAAATGTTCCTTGATGAGATGGATCCCTGATCTAAATCCTAGTACTCTTCTCTCCATGTTACCATACAATTTGGTGTATGTTGTACTTGTCCAGACACTTGTCAGTTACTAGAAAAGGGCAAAATTTCCACACTCTTTTTCCCTTTTCAGAAAAATCTTGAACGACTTGTCCTCCGATGCTCCTGGTGTGCCAAGGATTGAAGAAGAAAAATCTGAAGAGGAAGCAGCAGCACCTGCCATCACTACTGTCACGGTGCCAACTCCAATTTACCAAACCAGCAGTGGGCAGTACAGTATGTGATCTGCAATTTTCATTTTGTGATTGGGGAGAAAGCGCACATCGGAGTCTTGCTTTAAAAAATAAAGGATGCCTGGGATTTATATTATTTTTTTTCCAGAGTGCTCAGAAACACCCAGAGCCCTATGTTTGCTACCATCAGGATTTAAATAATCATGTCAGGTATGCTGAAAATGCATAATTAGGAAATACATGGAAAGAGGCCAAAGGACACTGGCAGTCAAGCCTGATGAGCACTGTAGTAGGATGGAAATGTATATTGTACTGGTTGCAGGGGTCCCACCTCTGTCAAAGGCCCGGTCTAATTGTGCTACCTTTGGTGATGAAATGGGTGATTACAGCACACAAAGGTACTTGAGCAGCACCTGAAGAGGGGATTGAAGCCATTGAATCCTGTTAATACACTGTCCCAAAGATATTTCTGGGCAAACATTTCTCAGAAGGATAGCCGAGTCTTTCACCCAAACCAGCAAAGGTCTGCTGCCAAAGGAAGGGGGTGCCCATACGTAGGACAGAGAAAGGCAGCTTTGCAACACTTCGTTAGCATGTGCCATCCTGATAGAAAGGGCCAGTTGATACAAGCAGTAGAGACGCTGGGTTATCAAATGACAATTGGCCCTTGTTTTGTGATCATTGCTCTGCAGTAGCTATTGCATGCAAGCATGTTTTCATGTTCTAGTTGCAGTTTCACATGAGGTGCGTTGCCATGTGGATACTCTAACTTGGTCAATTGTCAGGGCTGGGTGGGAGGATTGAGGGCATAGTGCTTGTGATTATTATTTGTCTGGTCCCCAGTGTGGTCCTGATTTTCTTTTAGGGACTGGTGTTGCTGATATCCACCATCAATATGGCAATGCTGTGCATGCAGGTATTGTCTGCATGAATGGATTGGTGTATATGTGGCGGAGCTGAGGAGTCTATTCTAGAAGCATTGTATGAGGGACCATGTGTGAACGGTATTCCTGCTGCAGTCTGTATGAGATGTAGCAGACTGAGGAGCTTCATGAAGTGGATAAATTGTAACAACATAGGGGAAAAGTGAAGGGGAAAGTCATGTGGATTTGTTTGTATATAACAGTGGTAAATTATGGGCTCATTAACCATCGGCTGGGTTGTGTGCTGTGTATGAACCACTTCAGTTAGAATATGCCATTTCCAATTGCCCATGACAAAGCAACCAAGGGTTACACATGGATCTTGGTTGTTTAACCACAAACTACCCTTAGTGTCTGGGTTTGCATGTCATGAAGCAATGTACAATCAGGCTGATCAGAAGTTGCATATTAAAATTGCAAGCAGCTCATACATGGTGCACAACCTGGCAAATTCTGGGTTAATAAACTCACAGTTTGCAATTGTTATGTGTACACTGGACAACAGGTGAATAATGAAAAGGAACTGAGATGAAGAGACAGTGAACGGTATAATATAATACACACCTGACTGAGGAAAGGATATAAGTAGAAGGATAACGCACTTAAATGAGTAGGATAAAGAATGAGAATAAAATAAACAATTCTTAACCACTGGAAAGAACAGATTGGCATAGTCATGGCAGAAATAGATTGTTAATTTTGATGCTATTTGATTATATCAGTGAAAAATAACAATTTGTAACCATTTTTATTGCTAATTATCCATTTTTCATATTATTGAAAAACTCAGTAGTGGCACAGTAAATACTTATTGATAATAAAGATTAGGATTCAATCTAATTCAAAGATTAGGATGTTCAACTGTTAAAATAAGTGTGAATATGAACTGCCACAACTTGCAAGGTAAATGCACATATCAAATTACACTTTCCCACCTGTTGAATGGAACTGAAAATATAGGTCCTTCTAAAATATTTCATGAAAGAGTATTGTTTTTATCTTTCTATGAAAGCTGACATTTGCTGCTCAAAAGTCAGGTGTCTCAGGTTTATTTCTTTTGTACACAAAGTAGCACCTTTCAGACTGCAGAAGGACGGCCTGTCTAACAGCCATGTCACGCACAGATACCTTTAAAGTAAGTCCCATAGACACAGTGAAAAAGACTGAAAAGACATGCACAGGCCTTCAGGGTAAATGAGACATTTAAAAAAAGCACAGGAAGTCATAGCTGCAGCACAAGAAACACCAACATATACTGAGATGGAGGTAAAACAGCTTTTAACACATTCAGTGGTTTTTGTGTTGTTGAGTATGCCACAGCAGGATGGTTTCTGCCTTCACTGACAGTTGCAGTGGACATACACAGAGAAACGCAGTATCATGTGCAGACTAGGGCATGAAGCCAAGGGTTTTCAAGCAGGCTTACTTATGAGCAATTTATCTGACAAGACAACTGAGAATAGTTGTGTGTGTGATGTTGAGGAGGTCACTGCTCCAAGTGCTGACTTGTACCTGCCTACTTTCAGTTGCTATCACCCAGGGAGGTGCAATCCAATTAGCGAACAATGGTACAGACGGAGTGCAGGGCCTACAGACTCTCACCATGACCAATGCCGCTGCAACCCAGCCTGGTACCACCATTTTGCAATATGCACAGACCACTGATGGACAGCAGATCCTTGTACCCAGCAACCAAGTTGTTGTACAAGGTAAGGTAATTCTTAAGTGATTTCTGCACTTCCATTGAGAACATAGGAAATTAGTAAACCACAACACTTTTGAGCTAAGATCTGCTGCTCAGAAAGTTGCAGTGTACTCTTTCTCGTAATAATGGGTGATAGATTAAAAAAGCTTGTCTAGGGCAAACAATAGTTTTTGTTTCAGCTCTGCATGTTGCTGTCTAGACAATAGACTATTAATTAAAAACTAACAAACAAAACCCTATTTGTCCTTCCTTTAAAGTTTGATTTCTGGCACTGCTAGGTAGTGTTCAGTAATTAGTGTTGGGAGCACTCTTTAATTTTAGGGAACATTTTTAGTCTTAGAGCAGGGTTCAGCAACCTTTAACACACTCAAAGAGCCATTTGGACCCATTTCCCACACAAAAGAAAACACTGGAAGCCACAAAAACCCTTTTGACATCTAAAATGAAGATAACACCGCATATATCATTTTTTACCTTAATGCTATGTATATCTTCATTATGATTTAGCTGCAGCTCTTGTTCAGTCACTAAAAACTGTTATTTTTAATCTTACATTATAAACTAGTAGGACTCCTTTCATATATTTTGAAAGAAGAACAGCTTCCTGAAGAGTCAAAGTCAGTGCTAAAGGGCTGCATGCATTAAACAGCAAACCCCATTAGTTCATCAGCAGTAAAAGCAAATGAATCTACCCACGTACCATTAAATGTTCGGTTTCCTTCAGAAACTTTTATCCATGGTTGGCCTATGAGGGGGGGGAGTCGCAGATATAAGTGTGTTTAGTGACTGATTAGCAGATAAACAATCAAGTGATGTGAATTGTGACAGGTCCCAAGCACAGCTTTTATCATTCAGAGGAAGGAGATTACATTTGGACAAAAAGAATCTTTTCAGCAGTGTTTTGTGTAACATGAGAGCCTGCAGGAAGCTTGTTCCACTCTTTCCCTGCACAATAGCAGAGGAATGTAGCAATTTACTTAACCAGCTAGAGGGGCATTGGTATTTTGTAACTGGGAGCCTCTGTTGCAGATCGGCAGAGCCGCTGCAGAGGGATTCAAGAGCCACGTGTGGCTCCAGGGGTTGCCGACCCCCGTCTTAGAGCTAAGAGTTATTTAAGAGCAGTTGGATAGACAAGGGGTCCAAACTGGGGCTTCCTTGTTCTGCCTTTTGTGGCTTCTGGAGAGCCCTAATAATTGAGATAAGTGGAATCGAATATGCCTTATCACTAACAGAAACCATATGTTTTGGTCAGATGTTGCAGGGGAAAGAGGCAGTGCTTTTGGAAAACAGAAGGGGAAAATATGGAGGCAGGCAAAAACACAAGAGGATAGCATAGACAGCAGTCTGTGACAGCAGTAGCATAGAAAAGGGAAAGGGTGTTGGAATGGGCAAGAGAAGCAAGAGCAATGGCTTCTAGCAAAGGTTATGTGGACTGGGAAGAGGACCCAAGTATGAAAAGGCTAATAGGATGTGATGGAAGAAGCCAAAGAAATGAGAATATCATATGAGTCAAAGAAAGGAACTGGGTAGACCTGGAAGAGAGAACTAAGAAGCAGGGAAATTATTTGAAGTGGATTCTAAAATGCAAAATGAGCAGGGATGGGCAAAGCAGCAAAGAGAAAGTGGCAGAGAAGGTATAGGAGGGGAAGAGAAGGGGGCAGGGCTTCATCAAATCTAACACTCTTCCTTTCCTTGATGCTTTTTTCCCTCCTAGCTGCTTCAGGAGATGTCCAGACCTACCAGATTCGCACAGCACCTACAAGTACCATTGCACCTGGTGTCGTCATGGCATCCTCCCCAGCACTTCCCACCCAGCCAGCAGAGGAAGCAGCACGAAAGAGAGAAGTCCGTCTAATGAAGAACAGGTTTGTGTGCTGTGCAGGGCCCACAGAAGACATGTGTCTACCTGAGGCAGACCAGCAGATCCCTATTCCTCTCCACCCTGAAAGCCCACAAAATTATTTATTTCAAGGTGAAAGTGAAGGTGTGGTAGAAATTCAGCTGTGTTTGAAAAATATGCACAGAATGAGGCTGCTACAGACAGCTTCAGTGTGTACCAGCCTGTAGTCCCGACAGTGAAATGCAAGGAAGACCAGTTGTATGGTACCCTCCTGCTCTAACCACACCCTAAATCTCCCATGCCAAAAAGTCAATCAAAAAGGACAAAGACAGAAATTCAGAGAAAATTGCCAACAGTCTGAATTTCGCCTATGCAAAAATGAAAAACCGATCAGCTGCACATCATTGGTTCAAAATATGTATCATCCATCCAGAATTTGATTTCAAGCCAAACAGCAGGATGATTTGCATGTGGAATAAATCAGCTTTGCCTCAGAAGAGCCCCCACAGGTAGGATGAATCAAACAGTATTGACTTCCAGTAAGAGAGAATGGAAGGTCCATTTCTTCCTAGTACTAAATAAATAGCTGAACAAAAAGTAGAGCTGCCATGGAGTAATTTAAAATTTAATTGTCTATCTGACAATGCAAGATTATTATTGGTGTTTCACAATAATAATAATATTGTCCTTCTCTGGGGAGAGTAAGAAGCTGTGGGTTTTTTTACTAGGTAAACATACATTGGGTTGGGTACCACATCAAATATGAGACAAGAGAAACCCACTTGCTGAAATTCTCCTTTTTGTCACCAGGGCTGCAATCTGAGACACAGCAACTGGCTAGTAAAGCCCACTGAATGATGTGAAGCATGCTTCTAAGTACATATCCACAGGGTTGTGCTCTTGAACACCCAGTGAAGCATGTTAACCTGGTTGTGTTTGAAATAGCTTGTTGACAGCATATCTGCCCAGCACAGGGTCAGAATACAGTGGACCTCTGTAGCTGCTCTACCTGGTCACATTGGTCTGAATTAGTTGCTATACAGGAAAGATTTTAAAGCATTTGGGTAGACTAAAATGTCAGGTGCATGCAGCTGTTTCTGCCATATGACTTCCTTCTGCCAGCACTGTCCCACCAGACAGAAGTGATTGTGGGAATGATGGGAAGCATGTTGCTGCTTCCTCCACAGCAGGGAAGGTAGAGGAAGGCCACAGCAGCAAGCAGAAGGAAAGGAACAGGCTCAGGGTCCAAATTTCCTGCCACAAGCTCGGCAGATGAAGTCATTGCTCTGGAGTTCAGTCCAGCCCCACTTGTATGTGCAATGAAACCAGGGCTTTGGGTGGCTGGCTAGCTTGGAGCCAATTATTGCTCAGATCATGCCAGTAAGCTTGGAGTGGAGAGCCGTGCTAATACTTGCTTGTCCAAAGTGGCTGCCTCACTTTGACTAATGACAGGGACAGCTTCAGTCCTGTCTTAGTTTGGATTGTATCTTCATGCCTAGCATGCTGTTGAAAAATACGTGCTTTTATAATTGACAAAACGACTGCTTATTCAAGTGGATCTCCATTCTCTTATCTGTCACTCAACGGAAAGCTCTTTGAATTGTATCATTAAAACCAAGATAAATGTATCTTCACTCACTAACCTTTTAGCAACATCTTGTTGTAGAATTATGGTATGTACGGCCCTCATCTGGCAAGATATGTGGTTGTTTAATTGCATGCATTATTGTACTCTGCATCTCTCTCACTTAGCTCTGATTGACTCTAAGCACCTTCACTATTACTCATTCAAGAGGTGTTGTATTTACGTTTTTTGTTTAACCTAATAAATACTTAGCTCAGTAAGAGATGTTGCTAACCCGTATAGAAAGGGGGGTAGTGCTTCCTTTAGCCCCCAAATTATGCTATTCAGTTTGACTCATGTTATCAACATTTGACATTGATGAATATTTGCAAATGTTTGCATACTCAGTTTAATTTGAATATCCTGCTTTGCCTACAGGGAGGCAGCAAGGGAGTGTCGCAGGAAGAAAAAGGAATATGTCAAATGTCTAGAAAACAGAGTGGCTGTGCTTGAAAACCAAAACAAGACATTGATTGAAGAGCTAAAAGCACTTAAGGACCTGTATTGCCACAAATCGGATTAATTTTAGATCCTTATTTTTGATTTGTTAATGTGGGAGAAAGACTGGTTTGCTGACAGCCAGAAAGACAAAGTGAACTTTTTATTTTCTAAACATTTCTTTTTTTCTACGCGCAAAACTGCCTGAAAGCAACTGCAGAATTTAATTCATCTGTGCTTTTGCATTAAACTGTGAATGTTGAAATACCTGCCTCCACTTCTCCCCCTTCCCAGCCCCAAGTTATTTTCATCAGAGTGCATCCTGAGCGTGAAGAAAAAGAACAGGCTTCCTCATCTCCCGTCCTCTTCAAGGAGTAACAATTTAATTTGTGAAGCTATTGGGGTGGGGAAATTTCATAATGGTTTCAAGAGTTAGTGCTGAGCTCATCTGAATGCCTTAGAGACAGTCACCTCAGCCTCTGCCCTGAAGTATTTGGTGGGCTGCACACATGGCCAAGGTATGATGCACTGAGAAATGATGGTTGCCAAATTATTGCATGGTTTCAAAAATCAATTAATAGTCTGTGCAGTTACAGCTATGTGGTGGGATGATGCCAAAGGATGTGCATTTCAGGTATGCAGTAGCAGGAATTACAGGAACATATAAAGAAGAGTTAGGGAGAGGGCAGGTAGCTTGTCTGTACATTCTATCTGGTTTTTTGAATTTTTTCTCTACTGTAAAGATAATGACATCTGTAATTGTTTCATAGATTCAGTCTTATGAATACACATGAAGAAATCAGATACCTTTGATTATCGATGAGGTGTGAACTCCTAGTAGAGTAGGAACAGTAAAATGCAGTTCAAGTTGAAGTGACCACTTGTATAAAGAAACATTAATTAAAGCAAGTACCATTTTACTTTGCTCTATCCAGAGGAGAAATTATCCAGATACCAGCAGAAGCATAACCAACCCAGTGTATGTTTGGAGAAGAAAGAAAAACTTTGAGCCATCCTAATAATTGAAATACTAGTTGATAAATCCTTCCCTCCCTTCTTTAATATAATCTCAAAAGGGAGTTGATAACTCGTTTAAGTACAGATGACATGCATATTTCAGCACAAAATATACCCAACAAGCGTACTTCTGAAACAACTGTTAGCCAAGCAGACAACCAAGTTAAGTCAGCAGATTTGAGTAGGGCTCTGAGTGATTTGGAGAACTGCAAAAATTTAGATTAAACCCTTCAGATCAAAATGTGATCAAAACCCCTTCTTTGCAAGACTCTTAAAATGGCACGATTACAGCAAAGCCCTAGATAAACATTAGAACTACCACTGTTTTATCAAAACATGTATGATTGTTAAGGAGAGGTTGCCCTTCCAGAGTCAAAATAGGATCATTTTGACTGGAGGACATTAAATTATTTTGAGTCTCTAATCCCAGCAGTTATGCAAGCCTAGAAGTAAAATAAATATTTCTGATAGATAGTAACAGACATGAAAGGTATTTTTTAAAAAAAGAGAGATTTTATTCAGTGAGTTGAAGATCTGTAACAATGTTGATGCTAGTTTTATTAATGAATATTCCATGAAAATTTTAAAAAATCCTACTGTTTTATATAGGATCAGATAACATAGAATTTTGTTTATCTCACATCACAAAGTACCAAAGTATCTTTAGAATTAAGTTTTCAAATCTAGTTCTAAGCAACCTTTACAAAGCTTCTGTTTATAAAGACTTGTTTTTCTCCTACTATTAGTTTAGCAAACAAAGAAATCTTTAATGTGTATAAGCTTTTATATCTGGTTTGAAAATTGCCTTAGGCAAAATGGACGAGGCAGAATAGAAATCTATAAATTACCAAATAAATAATACCATTCTGGAAATACTTAATGCTCACATAATCTTTTTTAAAATATGGAGTTTCTTGCAAAGATTTTGGAGCATAGTTAATTGATATTTTAAAGCCACTTTTTAATCCATTGCAAAGTTGTCCCCCCCCCCCCCCCGATAGAATCATATCTCTTTGATTTGGCAGGCATTCTTATATTGCCATTCTCGTTGACATCCATTGTATTTGGTGTTCCTGGTTGGGGAATTTTTTTTAAAGCTTCTACATAAAACTATGTTGGATAATTTGTTTAAATTGTATCAGTTATGTAATACTATTATAGTTTATATGTAACTGTATCAGGGGCAAAACCACCACCACCATGGAAAAACAACCGTCACAATTTTGGCATCCTCTCTAGTTACTATGGTATTTCAGTGGAGACATGGTCAGCAGAATGAGTTTTTACAGGGTTAATCATACCCTGAACATGGCCTTTCCACTGCTCAATTGGTCTATAAAGGAGGCTTAATATAGAGTGCTTGCAGCATTGCTGTATCAGCTATGGCTCTTATATAGGTAAATTCAGGGGTTTCATTCTGGACTCTTTCACCAGCAATAAGATAATCTTCTAGGAAAATTTCTCCAGTACTGAGATATTTAGGCAACTGGCATTCCTTATGTAATATAATTAGGTTTCATTAACCCAAGTACAGAACTGGCACTGGTTTACTGGTATGTGATTTTCAGTTCTAATAGCCAAAAGAAACAGAAGACAGTGAGAAAAACCCACATTTTTATATTGTTAATTTATTGAGTTAAGAGCAAGACTCTGTTAGTCAGCTGTTACAAATTTAGCCACTTTACTGCACAATAGAAATGTTGTTAAAAGATTAATGGACAGGCTTAACTGAAAAAAAGTGTAGAAAGGGCTAGCTCCATTACAATAATCACACACAAAATTGGTTTAAAATACAGTTATTATATTTTGCTTACCTACACACATACCACATAGGCAGTTAAACTATTGCCCTTGGTGCTCTTCTAACAGATATTCTTGGGAAATGCTTATGTATAAAATATGTACATATATAAAAATATATACACAGTATATAATCTATAGCTCTGAGAGCTTCTGAGTCAGGAATGCTGAGTATTATAGTATATTGAGATCTGAAAATAAGTTTTAGTGTGAGAGAGTGTGTGGTGTGTGTGCAAGCACACACATGTGTGAGGTTCCTTCCCCTACCCTGCCTCCCTCCAGTACTTTGAGCTACCTTATTCTGGCGCTTATTGATGCATTGTACTGTTGTTCACTTACACATTTCAGTTATTCCACTGCAGTTTGTTGCGGGGGGGGGGGGTTGCTTTGTTTTGTTTTGAGCTGGTGAATTATGAAATGATCTCAACTGTTTAAAGCTCCTCTGGTTCCCAAGTTCTTCACTTTGTGCTTTGTCTCTTTGGCAGCTATACACTTAAGGCAAAACCAACTGAGTTATACGAAGGGAACGAATGAGCCCTTTTGCTTCCCCCCCCCCCACGTCAGAAAGGGGTTTGCTCATTTTTTTTAAAAAAAGTGTTGTTTTTAACAGCTTACTCCTGACTTCAACAATTGTCAGTAGCATTGCTTGAATGTGAAAGCACACTTTTGTCCAGATTTGGTGGTTCTGTAGCATCTATTTTAAAAAACCATATTCTTACCAGAAATCATTATCAAAAAGAGACCTCTGAACATCAGTAAGATTGATTATGCCTAAGAGCTGAAACACATGATCAACAGCCTTGTGTGATGTTTATAGCTGGGCTGTATCACTGCTGGTGGGGAACTGAATGTTTTATTACTTTAACAACTTTAAAATAGAAAAGACACCATATTTAACTCAGGTGTCAGAGAGAGAAGGTTCTAATACAATCTTCTCCTTCTGACATCCAAGTTAAATATGTGTGGGATCCCTTCTGCATGAAAGGGCAAAACATTCAGTTGCCCACATTCAGTCTAAAGTGGTGCAGCTCAGCAGGAAATAAGACTTGAGGATGCAATCATGTGGCTTTGCTCTTGCTTAATTTAAGGAGCTCCTAGCATGCTGGTTGTGAATCTGTTATCCATATGCATCTCATAACTAATCAGTTGACTCTCAGGAGAACTCCCAAAGGAGGCTATTCTTTCAGGGGGATCTGCACAAAGTAGTACCAAAGATGTAGGTATCAGTGTAAGTTACAGAATTCAATTCCTCCAAATGCCAATGGAAATGCAAGAGGGGATAACAATTTTAGGAACAATCATGGGGTAAGAAAGAAAATTAAATGTCAGTGATGCCACTTTTTGTAGAAATGCATTCTGTTCAGATACTTTTACCTAGTGATGAAACTATATAACATAACTAGGTGGGTTTTTTTTTCTTTCAAAAAAGCACAACTGTTTTCCAGTTGCAAATGAGAAGAATTGACATCAGCTGTCATGTTGAATCTTTTAATGTAAAATGGGCATATTTATATGTTGCACATATCAGTGGTTACATATATTGGACTTATGGTCAGACTTTGTTGATCTTTTCAATCTTCTAAAGTCACTCTAGTAAGTTCTGAATACATAGAGAAGCACAGCCTCTTGAGACTGTTAAATAAGAAGTTAAATAACAAAATGGTGCTGAAATATTAGCAGTCTGCTGCTATGTGATACATTTAACTTCTGTGTTGAACATGGCGCCAAATTATTACATGACCTTTTATAGGAAGAGAAAGAACAACAAAAATACTTCAACCAGACATGTATTTTTAAAAATATATGCAAGCTATGGTCCGGAGTGGGGCAGCATTTTTTTTGGCACCAGTCTATTTTTGGTACTGCACGTGCAGGTCCCTACGAGTATGAAGTAAACTTCCATGCCTTCTAAGAACTTGTTTCCATCATCAAAAATTCCTGGAGTTTGTTCAGAATTGTGATTGTGAATCATTGTACCTTGTCTACATCTGTAAGGAATCTCCTGGCATCTTCTTGAACTTCCTTGCTCACTTTCTCAGGGCCTGTGTACACATGGTATTTCGCCATTTTGTTTCTATGTCAAGAAGTATGGAGCAATGCTTTCCGGGATGATAGGGTAATCTACAGAGTGTCTGTGAGGGGGATCTTCCACTTACCTCAGTATAATGAGTACATAACTATGGTGGGTTACAACTAATTGATTTCTGGATATACTACTGCCAAAATAAAGTGTCATGGTCTTAGTTTCACCATGTATTTGCAGTGTGTTCTAAGTGCAACTCACTCATAATTGCATACCAACAATAACAGTTCTTGTTTACTTGTGGGTTCTTCACCCTACCATGAGCCCAAGGGCCTGATTAACCTGTTGATCATATAAACAAATCAGAAATTGCTGCAAGCTTGAGAGGGGGTTCTTTCAAAATAACCATGTAAATACAGCCTTAGCTAGGTGTGATAGATATGAGGGACAATCTGTGAGCGAAGGAAACAGGGATGGAGGAAAATAAACTCTGTGGGTTGCAATTAAAAAGGCCATGATAATTAATGGAAGGATTTGTTGCAAAACGTTTTCTGCAAGTTTTACTTGATCCAGGTGCCACTCCATATTTGTGTATTACATTGGTTCCATGTACAGTGTATTGCATTCCAGTACATGTCTTGAAATAATAATAACCTACATGTTAGACCCTCAGGCATGTTTATGATTGGACTGTTTCATATATAGATGTTCTGGTTTAAGAGGCAACATAAGCACCTTCTCCTGTAAAATTCATTCCTATTGTATTTGGATATCAATTTTCACATTAAGAATTTGCAATGCAGAATTAATTTAGAATAATATGGGAAGTTTCTGGAGTGGAGATGGCTATATTATTTTTATTTAATGAAGTTTACCCTTCCCCATTTCTAATTCTTTACCCCCAAACAATCAGCACAAAACAGGGTATTGAAGTTTTAAAATATTTTCTCTTGAAATTAAATGACTAAGCAGAGAAATATGGATTAGACATGGATTAAGTTAATTTGAAAACTCTCTATTTCCTTGAAACATACCTGTTTTAATTTTGTAATGTTGTGCTTTCCATTTTTAATGTACTGAGTTATATTGCATTTTATTAACATCATGTACATACTAACTGCTTTGTGTTTCAGGATGCTAGTAATTGCTTTGTATATTAAAGTGGTCCTTGTGAATTTGTGAATTACTGTCATAACAGTGTTTTTTCTTACTGTAAAATTTGTGGTATAAACTGTCATAACACCCTTTTTACACAATTATGTGCATACACATAAACCTGCTTTTAAAATCTTTTGGAGTCTCTTTTTTTTAGAGAGGGAGTGATTCATTTATAAGTCTCAGCTTTAGCCAAGTTGCCAAATAGGAGTAGAATATTTAAAAAACCACTTGGAATTGGGTCATTCCCCAGAATTGTCCATATCATTTGTATTTTGCTAATAGGAAACTGAGGCTGAACTTTGTAGAAACCATAGCTAGGGGTATTTTCTTCCTAGCCATCCAGGTAGCTTAGGCCTCACTACTAAATGTATAATCATGCAAATATGTATAATCATTCTTTTCTATGGATTGCTTGCTACATATGATCATTTCTGAATATTTGTTAATCAAATATTAAATAGGAGAGCCAGTGTGGTGTAGTGGTTAAGACTGTGGGGCTGAAACTCAGGCGATCTGGATTCTAGTCCCCACTGAACCATGGAGCCAACTGGGTGACTTTGGGCCAGTCACAGACTCTCAGCCCTGCCTACTTCACAGAGGGGTTGTGGGGATAAGATGGAGAGCAGCAGGAAGAGTTTGATGTGTGTTGCTTTGAGTTTTTAAAAAAAGGCAAGATACAAATCAAATAAAGGGTTACATATACAGACATTTCCTGCCAAAGTATAACTTTGATTTCAACTAGTGTTTTCCTCTCTAGAAGGATTTTGATGAAATACAAGCACCATTCTGGATGCAAAAGGTGTTTCCTGCTCAACACAAGGGCTTTATGCTTCTTGCTGGACCTTGTGTGAGAAATTGTACATTTCCAGCTAGCAGTTGCATATGAATATCTGCACTTAAAATTCAGAGGTCAATGGAGTAAATTTTCATAGTTCCAGCTTTCTAATAACAGACCCATCAAATCAACAAGCATAGCCTTCCAAAATATTCCTGGACAGGTCTATCTAGTTTCTGAAAGCATTACAAACATCTCCCTTCAATGTAAACACATCAATAAAACTGGTCTGAAAGAACAACTTCCCACTTTCATTCTAAATCTTAAGGAGGAAAAAATAGGCCAAGAAGTTGTGGGAGAATCTTCAAGATTTGTAAGGGAGATACCAAGGAAATCCTAGAGGGAGTGCCAGCACGCCTTGGTTCTATTATGTTGAAAGCTTTTCAGTAAATAATTCAAAACATGGATAAGGAGAGGAAAAGGCATGTGTGGAAGGAGGAACTATCCCTGTAAAATTTCACTGCAAATAGGATTGTCAGACCATTTTAGCAAGGGGAAGAGAGGTATGATGTAATGTTTATTGCCCTGGTTGCAAAAGTTACTAAATTTCTATTTGTTTTTTCTCAGGAAAAAATGCAAATATAAACAGGTAATTTGTTATAAGCCTATTTTATGATCTATTTTCTGTACAAAGTAAAATGTTCTTCCTTTACTGTATAAAGCTGTAAAATTTGACTTTATTACATCGAGACTCAAGACACCAAAGTTCTTACTAACAGTATTAACAGAACTAGTATCCCGCCTTTTATCACAAATGGTTTCCTGGCAGCTTATGAGAGAAATAAAACATCAAGCTGCCCCAAAAATATAAAGCACAGATTTAAAAAGCAACAGTACAGCAACCAGTAGAATCAAGGAACAGCTAAAATAATTAGAAGAGCCTCAAATACCACTATGATTAAATACCTGGCCCCTCCAAGGTAACCAATGGCACCAGGAAAAGCTACTTACCAGGCCTACCCTAGGCTACCTTGGCCCTATTGTATTTCTATGAAACCCCCTCTAGTAAGCCTACAAAGGACTATATAAAGGGCCCTCTAGTATTTCTGCCTATCCTCAAAAGAAGAAAGTACATCTGGAAGAGCCTCAAAGGAAGATAGCAGATTCATGTTGAAGAAGGTGGTCCTTAGCTGTCTAGGGCATAATCCTGCACAAGTTTCATCAGAAGTACAATTCCTCAAATCCCTCAGCCAGCCATGGAAGTGGGTAAATTCTGGAAGTTGTAGCATTTTTTTCCATCTAAGGGTGCACAGAATGGTACCCTTAGGGTTTTAACAGCACTTTGAATGGAGTTCGAATTGAACCACTGAATCCTTTACATGCCTTTTTTGGCATAAGGCAGGGTGCAAATGAAATAAGAACTTTTCACATGTTCCCAATGGTGAGTGATCTGCACCACCTGAAGTTTCCAACTGTTTTTCAAAGGCCACCTCACATATCATGCATTATAGCAGTCAAGCCACAATGTTTCTAAAGCATGCATAACTGGTTGGGTCATCTCTCCTGAGGAAGAGGAAGAAGAGGAAGAGGAAGAGGCCTGCCTGCACGTTCCCAACAGGCTTCTCATACATAATTGAACTGAATTCCTGCTCCACTGGCCCTGTTAGGATCAGTCAAGTTGGTCTGTGTGAATGAAACTGGTTTAAGGGTACAGTAAAATGAGTGTCCCAGGCACAATCAGGCCCTTTCCAAGTACTGAACAAGAAGCAAAACTTTAAAAGCCATCTTACAGATGCTTATTCAAAAGTAAGTTCCACTGAGTTCAATCAATGTTTCCTCCAAGTCAGTCAGTCATAAGTTTGCAACTTTAATTTGCCCAATATGATTAGGTAAGTTCACAACTGAGTATCCTCCACATTTTCTGGATCTTAACATCCATGATTCTTAACCTAATATTTATTCCTCAGTACTTGAGAGGACCTAACCTTTTCATTTCTCCAGGGATAACTCAAGAGACCCTAACTTTCCCCTTTTGCCAACATTCCAAAAAGAAATGCAGTACAAACTTAGAAATTTTATACAGGTTTCCTTTTCACAATTTATCATCTAGAAATTCTGGTCACAGCACCTGAAATCTTTGCAAAAAATTTCAAAATACATTCATTATCACCTTCTATGGCTATACATGCCCCCATTAAGTGGACAAAAAATATCCAAGTAGGACATTGCAAAGTATTTGCCCACATAGCAGAATTAACCATTTTTCCCTTTCCATCCCACCCTATGTCCAAACCTGTAGGATACATAATGCCACTGAACAAATAGTGTTCTGAAGCCTCACAATCTGAGCCAGACACAGAGAAAGGTTGCAAAGAATGAATTAAAGCCAATGCCTTCCCATTCTATCCTATGTCTCTAACACAAGGGAACTTCCAACAACTCCTTCCTGCACTAGTCTTCCAAACATTCCCCCATTTTTTGTGTAGGCCTTCTGCATCACATACATGTGTTTTGGCCATCACTTGAATATAGCAGATGTCACACCTGTGGTATCAGTCAACCCAATCTTGTGCCCCTCAACACCCATCATCCCTGCTCTATTGGCAACAGTGGTAAGTTAGGAATGGTGAAAGCTGTAGACCAACACATCCTGAGGGCACCAGGGTAGAGAAGCAGAATTTCACTACTTACATCAGAATCACATTTGTATTGTTGCTTCTTACCAATCCCTGGCAACCCCTCCCCCCGCCCTAGTTTAAGTATGCTAGGTTTACTGCTTCCTAGTAGCTCAGCTATCATTATTCTATTAACCAATCCTTGACCTTGACTAGGGCTACATCAAGAGCTGTTGCTTTCTCCTTCACTGTCAACAATGCAAGGGTTCTTTCATTATTGCATCAGTCAGCCTATTAGAAAACTGACCAACAAATTCACTGCCTCCAAAGAAGCAAACAGATGCTGTACATAATCTAATCAATTATTTCCTTTGCAGCTGGCACAATCTCTTTCCAGTCAGCAAGTAACTTTCATTTGCTGTTCCACTGAAAAGATGGTAGTCCTCAGAGCCCATCCTTCTAACAGTATTTTGCATTCGACACCAGTGGAAAACAGAAGTAAAACACTGGTATTCAGAATCTAACTGGATTTTTCACTTACATGGTGCCAAAATATCTTGTGTTTCTCCAAGTCCAGCTCTAGCTGTGATTTCCTTAATAGTTATTCTTCTGGGCCATTTATAATTTGGGTTATCAGAATGATTAAAATAAGTAAATTTTTGGCCTGCTGGAATGATTAAGGGAAGTTCTTTGGTCTAGATATACCAAGGGATAGGGTGAAGGGAGATATGAGCTGAGAAGAATTCACAATGAAACCAGTCACAAATCTCCATACTGGACCTTCTGCTGTGCTTTGAAGATATGCACATCATTACTAGCATCGTAGAACACCTCCCGGACTGAAAAACGTCCCCTCAGCATCTCCAGGAAGTTCTGATCCCGCTCATAGCGGAGACGACAGGATAGCAGGATTACAGTCTGGTCAGAGCACAGATGGTCCAGTGTTTGAAGAAGATCCATAAATGTTTCTTCTAGATAAATAATGTCTGCACCTAAGATGAAGTCATACCCTCCTGGAGAGAAGTTTGCCAAATCTTGTCCCCAAGTCAGTTCCTTGACTACTGCTCTTGGCTGGAGCTCAGCAGGTAGATTAGCTTGTACATTTGCCTCAAGTAATGGCAAGGCAGCCTTCCTGTCTGTAATTGTAACATGAGCACCTAGCCCAGAGAAAGACAGAAGGACAAAAAGACAAATTACTGGTGTCTAGCACAAATTTTGTAATGCAGATCTGATTTGCCAAATTCAGAAAAAACATTTCCAGTGTCCATGTGTAAACTACAATTTGGAATAATTTTTGAAGTGCACTTTCTGGTCATTGCCCAGTCATGTCATCAGCCGAACTGTGGAGAACAAAACAGTTCTAGCATATTCAAGGAAAGGTAATAGCCTTGGAATGCTTATGTTTTCTAGTATTTCGCTGTTGCTAACCCAGAGTCTCCAACTTAGAATTCTGAGACTTAGCATTCGATACAGCAGGAAGGAAATCTAGATCTGTGTCATGCCCAAGAGAGCAACATTAATGTTGTGTTAAATGGGACAGCACTTGCCATAAGCAGGCATTTTAAATTGAATCTGCAATGGGCACAATGACTGAGTTGTGTTTGTGTATCCAGGCTCAGCCCAAGCATACGCCACCCTTCTTTTGCAGCCCCCAGTTTTTCCATCCAAAGAATAGGCAAGAAAATAGATAATTACCCAGGTCTCATCTATTGCCACCTGCTCTGTGGGAAGGATTCCAGGTAAGCGGGCAACTACTGCCTCAGAGCCTGCTCTAGCACAGAATCATGTACTATTATCTGCTGTGTTACAGTTTCTTGAAAAAGACTGTTTATTGTAATTTCATGACTGATGGTTTATATTACTTGCAAGCTGCCTCTGAAGGATTTGCCTCCCAAAAGGCGGAATAAAAATAATGTTAATGAATAAGTTAAGTACTCTCAAGATTAATGCATGGACAGTGATTCCAAAACTACTAAATAGAATCCAAGGACTATTCACTGAGCTCCTCCTCCTCAGCTTATACTTACTGGAAGACTGGAAAGGTTAAATACTTTGGGAAGGCTGGAAAATGAATGTGCCTGCCCTCCCTAATGAAATAACTAAGGGTGCAAGCTGATCCACAGGACAGCAAATCGGGATTACTGGCATCCTACACAGGCTGGAAGAAGTGAGAGGCAAAGGCTCCCGCCGTGCTCCTCATCTGCTGCAAAGCAGAATGATTGAAGCAGGCCAAGGTCCATTAGGATCACTTGCATCATCGCAACACCTGTCTCCTCCCCTCACTGACCCTGGGCACCTTCTTCCCCATAGTTTTTGAGACCGCAGAGTGCAGCCAGTGCAGTTCTTTCTATGCTGGTAGTGGGAAGGTGCTGAAAGCTCAGAGATGTAGTTATAAGGTCAAACCACTTTTCTGACCACATACCTGGGTCTCCAAAGAACCCTCTGGCCATCTAGACTCTGCAGGGGTGCAATCCTATGCAGATTTAGATAGAAAAAAGTCATACAATTCTCAGCATGTCTCAGGCAGCCATGGGAAATACTGGGAACTGTAAAGCCTTTTTCCAGTCTAAACATGCACAGGATTAAGCCCTAATGGTCTGTGAGGAACACCTCCCAAAGAAAGCATCGAACTGGGAATCTAACTGTCAGGTCAGACAGTGAAATAAATATAACAGAACACATCCCCCGCCCCACCCAGTTTCTGCAAGAAGAATCTTACCGAGCAAGGTGGCTACAATTCCCAGCAGGCCTGTTCCAGCTCCTAATTCAATCACCAGACTTCCTTGCAGATCAATGCCTCTCATCTCTAAAAAAGTGCACAAAACCACGGCCTGGGGTGGGAGGAAAAAATCTGGTTAAAAAGAATGCATCTTTGGCTAACATCTGACCAGGTAACATGAGTAGTTTGCCAAAGGGGGGGGGGAGGTAATGAGACACCATTAAGATACACTAGAGTATCATTGATGATAAACATTCCTTGGGGGTCTGTCTGAGTTGACATGTAAAGTGTGGGGTTTGAAGGTGAATATTGAACAGTGAGCACTGGTCCAGTTCACCACCACCACCAAACGTTTTATTTGCCACCAAGGATGGCAAAGCAAGTAGTTATTTTGGCATCTGTCGTAAGCAAGAACTTGCACGGGCTCATCTTTTGCATATCTCCGGTATTGTTTTATACCACTGTTGCTGCCAGGAAGTTTATTCACTTTTTTAATTGCTGTTTTGTTCTGAATCATAAATGTTTTTGTTATGGTTGCATCCTAGTCCTTTCATGTTTCCCATACATAATATTTGTTTCCCCATAAATTGCAGCTTCAGCAGCATTCCCCGCTCCACCACCCCTCTCTTATTTATTTATTTATTTATTCATTTATTTATAACTTTTATATGCCGTCACCACATGTCTCGGAATCTTGGGACAGCTCACAAATGTACAATTAAAACAATAAAACAATAACAAATTACATAAAATTATATAAAAACAAAAACAAAAAACAAAGAAGTGAATGTTAATGATTAATAATAAGTGATTAATTCATAGAGATGTCATGTGGGTACCCTCATGCTTTCTGAAACATGCAATATGGCTTGCAAATTAAAAAGGCAGGACAGTTTTAAGACTGGTCCATCTTTAGTTTCTACTAAAATTAACAAAGGAATTTAATAGAATGGACCAACAGATGCACAAGTATAATGGCATAGATTAACCCATTTAGAAAGAAAAATAAAGCACAAAAAGCCAAATAAGATAGCAGGGCATGAGAAGGACCAGGTAAAGGGAGAACACAGGACTTCTATCCAAACCAGTCACAAGAAGATCTGGCAATTTTGAATGCAGTAGGCAGTTTTCCTAAAAATAGAATACAAGAAAGAGTAATTGTAATGCTACCTACCATTTATATAGTGCTTTCAGATGTTGAAAGTGCTTTACCTGCATTTCCTAATTGTGGGTTTCACAATGATTCTGCAAGACAATCTTTCCCAAGCTGGTATTAAACTTCCACCATCCCTAACCAGTGGCCATGCTGTCTGGGGTTGATGGGAGCTGCAATCCAAACCTTTTGGAGGTCACCATGTTGGGGAAGGAGGCAAGGTGAGTCATTCTCTTACACTGCAGGTGGGGAGAGGGGTATGGAGAGCAGTTTGCCGAACACACTAGTGTGTTTCTGGCAGAGACAAGATCTGAACAAAGTTCAAGCCACTGCACCAGGCAACCTCTAGTAGTGCAATGCAGATGTACAGATCCTGGACACAGCACCAAACCTACTCTCTTCCCTTTGGCCTATCTGTAGCATGGAGAATCATAGAATGGTAGAGTTGGAAGGGGCCTGCTCTGTGCAGGACTCCCAGTTAAACCATCCCTCTCAGATGGCTGTCCAGTTGCATCTTGAATGCCCTTAGTGTGGGAGAATCCACAACCTCCCTCGATCATTGGTTCCATTGTCATACTGCTCTAACATATCTAGCTGATATCTAGCTGGAATCTGGCTTGTCTCTTAAGCCCATTATTATTCTCTGTCCTGCACTCTGGGGTGACTGAGAAGAGATCCCTTCCTTCCTCTTTGTGGCAGCTTTTCAACTACTTGTATAGAGTTATCATATCTCTCCTCAGCCTTCTCTTTTTGACGCTAAACACACCCAGTTCTTCCAATCTCGCCTCACAGGGTTTGGTTTCCAGTCCCTGGTTCATCCTTCTTGCCCTCCTCTGAACTCCTTCTAGCTTCTCTGCATCTTTCTTAATCTGTGGTGCCCAGAACTGGACACAGTACTCCAGATGAGGCGTAACCAGTGCAGAGTAGTGGGGAACTAGTACATGATGCAATGCACTGCCTATCGACTTGTTCTATTTTGTACTATGTCGTGTACTGTATTTTCCTAAATATAAGAAGTGCAATTCCAGCTGCAATAGGCACACATACATGCAAACTGCCTACAAGGCCCCTTAAGGTGGGCAGAGCCAGGGGCTGTCTTTCCTGCCACTTTGAAGGGGAGTGTGGCTGTTCACAATTGTGCTGTCACATCTTGTACTCAGATGTGAGTACTAGGCTAAAAGAGATAGTGTGAGAAGTTGTCCCCATCTGCTTCTGCACTTGCCATCCCCTCTGTAGACACAGGGCCAAAAAAAGGTGGGGTAAGGTAAACTGGGGGGTGGCCCAGTAGCAGCACACCTGCTGCACATGCCAAAGTCCCAGGTCTGATCTCCAGGTAGCGCAGGAAAATCCGTGCGAAACAGATAATAAATGCACAGAGCATTTCCTTAAACATTTGCAAAATGGTTGCATTTCAACCTCAGTGTCAGATATGAAGCAGTTTTTCACAATCAGCAGCTGGAATAATAATCAATTTAGCATGCAAGGAATATTAGTACAGTGTTTTGTTTTGTTTTGTTTTGTTTTTTTGTTGTTCCCCTGGATAGCCCAAGAAATGCTTAAGTAAGTAAGGTGATCATCAATAAGCATCAAGATAATTTAATCAGACTTTAGAAACATAGAAACAGAGCGAGTCAGAAGGGGCCTACCAGCCCATCTAGTCTGACCAGCACCAGCCGGCTCCGCACACGACATGCCCACCATGTGCACATCCAGCCTATTCTTGAACACCCGCACCGATGGGGCCTCAACCACCTCCCGGGGAAACCCATTCCACACCCTTGGGGTCCTGACTGTCAGGAAGTGCTTCCTGGCATCCAAATGGAACCTTGGCTCCCAGAGCTTTGCTCCGTTGGTGCGCGTTCTGCCTTCCTCTGCAGGGGAGAACAGGTCTCTTCCCATCTCTGTGTGACATCCCCACACATACCTGTATGTCACCAATATATCCCCTCTGAGTCTCCTCCAGGCTGAAGAGACCTAGTTCCCTCAGTCTTGCCTCATACCCCATCCCCTGCAAACCGGCCACCAACCTTGTGGCCCTACGCTGCACTGACTCTAACCTGGCCATATCTTTTCTGTAATGAGGGGCCCAAAACTGAGCCCAATACTCCAGCTGTGGGCACACCAGAGTCATATAGAGTGGTAGTATTACCTCTCTCGATCTAGAAGCCACACTTCTGGCTATGCAACCAAGGGTGGCATTCGCCCTCTTGACCACCACATCACACTGCTGACTCATGTTTAGCCTGCAGTCAACCAGCACCCTGAGGTCCCTTTCACAAGTGCTGCTCTCCAGCCACTTGTCCCCTAACCTGTACTTATGACACCCATTCCTATGCCCCAAGAGCAAGACCTTGCACTTATCCACATTGAACGCCATCCTGTTGTCTCCTGCCCACTTCCATAGTCTGTCCAGATCCTTTTGGATCTGGAGTACCTGCTCCTCAGTTGTAGGCACTGCTCCAGTTTTAGTGTTGTCTGCGAATTTGATCAGCAGACTGTTCACCCCCTCTTCCATGTCGTTGATGAAAAGATTAAACAGGATCGGCCCCAGGACAGAGCCCTGGGGGACCCCGCTTGTTACTGACTGTCATCCCGATGATTACCCACTAATCAGTCAACCATGCCCTAATCCACCAGACAGTGGTTTGGTATATTCCAAAACTCCTCAGTTTCTCCACCAGGATATCATGGCGCACTTTGTCAAAGGCCTTGCTGAAATCCAGGTGTACCGCATCCACTGCATCCCCTCCATCTAGCCATCTCAAAACCTTGTCAAAGAATTCCACAAGATTTGTCTGGCAGGACCTGTTTTTGCGGAAGCCGTGTTGTGTGGCTGTCAGCCTCCCTCCCCTATCTAGCATCACTAGATCTCTCTCTATTATGAGCCTTTCCATTGTTTTTCCTACAATGGACGTAAGGCTAACTGCTCTATAATTCACCATGTCCTTTCTACTACCCTTTTTGAAAACTGGGACCACTGATGCCACCCTCCAGTCCTCTGGAACTTCACCCGTTCTCCACGAGGTCTCAAAAACGGAGGCCAGTGGGCGTGAGAGAACCCCTGCCAACTCTAAGTACTCTCGGGTGTAACCC